AATATTTTGTTTTTTATTTTTATTTTATGTGTATGTGTACATTGCCTGCATGTAGGTAAGTGCACCTGTGTCGTGCAGTGCCATGGAGGTCAGAAGAGGCTGTCAGATACCCTGGGACTGGAGTTAGAGATAATTTTTAGCTGCCATGTGGGTGTGGGGATTCGAACCCAAGTCTTCTGCAAGAACAGTCAGTCTTAATCACTGCGCCATCTCTCCAGCCCCTATTTTTATTTTTATTTTATGTGTATGAGTGTTTGTCTGCATGTGCAAGTGCACCACGTGTGTGGTGCCCACAGAGGCCAGAAGAGGGTATCAGGTCCCTTGGACTGGAGTTATGGACGGTTGTTAGCTGCCTTGTGGGTGTTGAGAACAGCCTGTGGGTCCTCTGGAAGAACAGCCAGTGTTCTTAATTGCTGAGCCATCTCTTTAGCCCCTCTCTAGCTCTTTCAGTCTTTGATATTTTTAAATCATCTAAGAAGAGATATGTAACAAAATAATGTTCAGTTTTATGTATTTCAAAAAATTATTATGGTGGGTAGGTGGGCATGGGTATGTTCTAGTTTGCTGTGATAACTAAAAGTAACTTGGAGAGCAAAGGGTTTATTTTATCTTACAGGTCGCAGTCCATCATTTACATAAGCTAGGGCAGTAGCTTAAGGTAGAAACCTAGAGACAGGAACTAAAACAGAGACCATGGAGGAATGCTGCTTGCATGTGTCCTCTGGCTTGTTCAGCTATCTTTCTTATATAGCTCATCCCCACCTATCGGGATGGCACCGCCCACAGTGAGCTGGACTCTCCCACATCAATTAGCAATTAAGAAAATACCTCACAGATGTGGCCATTGGCCAGTCTGATGGAGGCAGTTCTTCAGCTGAGGTTGCCTCCCCTGGTGACTGACTAGATTTGTGTCAAGTTGATAGCTAAAGCTAACTATGACACTTAGCATGGCATGTATGTGGAGGGCAGAGGACAACTTTGGAGTTGGTTCTCTCCTTGTACTTTTTATGTGGGTTCCAGGGATCGAATTTTTGTCACCAGACCTATGCGGCAAGTGCTTTACCAACCCTGAGCCATCCTTCCTGCCTGTATAGTTTTTTTTTAAAAGTACCTAAAGCTGCCAGGCATGGTGGTACGCTCCTTTAATCCTAGTACTGAGGAGACAGGGGAGTTTGTGAGTTTGAGGCCAACCTGGTCTATATAGTGAGTTCCAGGCCAGCTAAGGCTGCATAGTGAAACCCTGTCTAAAAAAAACATAAACAAAATGAAATAAGCTACCTAAGGGGGCCTGAGAAGATGGTGTTGTGGGAAAATGCAGTTGCTGCACAAGCAAGCCTGAAAATGGAACCCCATTTCAGTGAGTCTATCTGTTAATCCCTGGACTCCTACTGCCCTGAAATGGGAGACAAAGACTGGACAATCAGGACAGCTCATACCCAGCTAGCCTGGAGTATGCTGCCCAGGGTCCCAAACAAGAGAGACAGTGTGGAAGGCAAGAACCAACTGAAGTGTTCTCTGACCTCAATGCATGTGCCTACCTTGAACATACATGCCTGTGTATACACACAAGCCCCCACATACATGTGCAAATTTTTTCTTAAAAAAGAAAGGAAGGGGGCTAGAGAGATGGCTCAGCGGTTAAGAACACTGGTTGTTCTTGCAGAAGACCTGGGTTCGAATCCCAGCACCCACATGGCAGCTAACAACTGTCCGTAACTCCAGTCCCAGGAGATCTGACTGCCTCTTCTGACCTCCGTGGGCATTGCACAACATGGGTGCATGTACTACCTATATGCAGGCAATACATAGAATAAAAAAAAAATAAGTAAAATTCAAAAAAACTAAAAGGAAGAAAAGGGAGGAAGAAGAAAGAGAACAGGATAGAGGAGAGATACCTCTTTAAAGAAAGCTTTCTGTATTATCCTTAATATTTTCCCCAAAAACATCTTGTGATAATTGCCTCTCTGAAAGTTTAATTTTGGAGGCCCAAATCTTTAAACAGAACCAGTCATCCTTCCAAAAAAAGTATGCTTAATCTCGTTCAGAATTATCAAAATATGTTTACATATAGTGTAGAAATGGCCATTTCCTTCATTTTTCATAAATTTCTTTTTATTGAAAGGTGTTACATGTAGATTGGGTAGCTTTGCATAGTAGAAAAAAGAGTCTTTCTTTATGTATGTGATTTAATGAGTTTAGCTTAATTCCACCAAAAGAAAGTATCCTATTTAGAATTTTGTGTCTTGTAGCTGTATGACTTTATGACATTTTGAGATTTGATAATACATCATCAGAAGGTACTACAGTTTATACTGAGCATATACAAAGTGTGTTCAGAGATTGCCAGGTCTGCTCTGTGGAAGAGAAGAATTCATGGTAGGTACAAATTATGGTCCTTACAACATCCTTGGTGATGTTTACTTGATAAAATGGTACAGCAAGGAAACGGGTTTGTTTTGGAGAAAAATCTGAGTGTAATGTTCTTCCTAGAGATTAAGTTTTCCCTCCTTTAACAGGACATCTTACAGGAAAACACGAGAGACATTTCTCCATCTCAGGATGCCCGCTCTATCATAACCTCTCAGCTGACGAATGCAAGGTAACTGCCCATTTATTCAGCTTATACCCACTGAGTGCTTGCTCTCTGCCCTGCCTACACTTTGCTAAATACTGGGGATACAACAGTGAACAAAGGGAGAAAGGAGTTCTAGGCTAGCTAGGGCTACACGGTGAGACTCTGTCTCAAAGAACCCCCCCCCCAAAAAAAAAAGAATTGTAATATGTAATGAGTGATTTGGAAGACATGAATAGGAAAATTATTTTTAGAATATTTGGAACTTTAACTACTACTGCATTATTTTCCCTTGGTAACTGACTCTATACTGCCAGGGACACGCCTCTTTTTTTTTTTTTTTTTTTTTTTGGTCTTTTTTGAGACAGGGTCTCCCTGTAGCCCCAGATGTCCTGGAACTCACTATGGGACATGCCTTTTTTTACAAAGCAAAATTTGCTTAGACAGCTGACCTCAGTGTTAACACATTTTGTTTGCATAAATCCATGAAGTCGTTTTGCTTCTTAAACTATTTCCAACTTTTTTTCTTCTTCTGTTCATTTCTGCAAAACACTATTTTGGTTACTATCAGTCACATCTCCTTTTAATTTCTTCAAAAATGTAGTTCCTATATAACCTTTGGAATTTGGGATGATATATTTGATAATAGAGCCTACGATCCTCTGTGTCTGTTCCTACATGGGCTGCTGCTATCAGGGATGGAATCAAAGTACTAATTATGTGGAAGCAAGAATTGAAAATGGTAATTAAATAGATTGCTCAAGTTGTCTTTGGATAAGTTAGCCAAACTAAATACTTTGATTACACTGAAGTGTTAATTGCTTTTCTTGTTGTTGTAGTACCTTGGCTAACAAAGTCTGAATCTCAGGTGTATGCTTGTGAGCAGGTTTCATTTGAAAGCGAATTGGATTCCCAAGTTAGCATTAGTTCCCCTTGATTCAGCGAGTTGTCTTTACCAGATCACAGGGGGAACGCTTCTTTGAATGTTTAATAAGCTTTCATCAGAGTGGTGTACTTCCAATACTTACATGTGTTGTACAGTCAAAGACCTTACTCTGCTTTGTTTTCATTCCAAATCTTTTGTAAGCAAGACAGCTTGCACTCTGTAGGGTCTTCTCTTCGCACCGTGTAGCCAGATGAGAGCAGAAATGGCTCAGTCAGCATCTGATCCAGAAGCTGAACAAGCACTGGACTTCTTTCTCTGAAAGAAGTGTCATCTGTATGCTTCCAGAACTCTATCACTTGGCTTTAAAGATAGTCTGATACTGTAGTTGCTCTTACATAACAATTTTGCTAAAGTATGACATTGAAAACCATTGGCCTGTAGCAGTAGCTACACACTGCTTGAAGCAATTTGTTTCAGGACAAGAAAAATTTCAGAATGGGAGAAATTTCTGGAAAAAAAGAAACATTTCAGTTGTGAATTTTCCCCCTTTAAAAATTTTATTTATTTTTATTTTATGTGTATGAGTGTTTTGCCTGCATGTATGTAAGTGCACCATGTGCCTGGTGCTCTCAGAGGCCAGAAGAGGGCATTAGATCCCCTGGGACTGGGATTGAGGATAGGTATAAGCCTCCATGTGGGTGTTGGGAACTGAACCCAGTCCTTTGGAAAAGCAATAAGTGCCCTTTACACCTGAGCCATCTCTCTAGCCCCTGAATTTTTCCTCCAGTCTCCATGTTTACGAGAGGAGTGAGACTTCACATCATCTACACTACTATTGGACTGTGTACTTAGAGGATCAGAATTTATAAAGGAAGATGATATATCTTTATTATATTTAGAATCTCAGATGGGAAGATTAGGTTAATTCCTTATTTATAATAGCACTAGAGTTTTTGTTTTGCTTATAGTGCTAGGAATTGAACTCAGAGCCTTTGTGTAAGCTAGGCAAGCCCTCTACCATTGAGCTACATCCCTAGCCTCACTAAAGCTCTTAAATTTTAAACCACCTGAGTATATGTGATTGCTTTTGTGTTCCCAGTAATCCTCTGTAGTCAGCAGTATTATCATTTTTATTGTCTTATATTTTTTGTGGCTGCATGTGTTAACTACTGTTTACAGATAGCCAAAGATTTGGTGACTAAGCTTTTTTTTTTTTATTTTTTAAATTTTATGTGTATGTGTGTATTGTTTGCACATATGTGAGTGCACCCATGTCATGCAGTGCTGCGGAGGTCAGAAGAGGGTGTCGGATTCCCCTGGAACTGGAGTTAAGGATGGTGTGTAGGTACCGTGTGGGTGCTGGGAATCGAACCCGGGTCCTCTGCAAGAGCAGTCAGTGCTCTTAACCGCTGAGCCATCTCTCTAGCCCCTGGTGACTAAGATTTTTAAAAAAGACTACATTCAAGGAGTTTACATGCCCATGGGGAGCTTATAAATTAAATAAGAATTTATATAGTGATAAGTACCACGAGAAAGAAATTGTTTCTAAGTTAGGGTAACATACTTTCACTAGAGGAAGGTCAAGGAAAACCTGAGACTGGTGTTTGGTCTGAAATATAGATAGTGTCAAAGAGACAGTATATTAAAGACCTAGGAGAAGAGATGGCTAAGGAGACGGAATAGGAAGTGTAGTAGCTCTGAGCTGGGGATATAATGGGTTTGAGACTTTGAAGCTAGGTTGTATGGCTGAAGCGTAATGAGAAATGAGGAAGCAGAATTCAGACCATGAAGGCCTGTAGGCCTTGGTACAAGGACTGTTTATTCTAGTGGCAGCTTGCTAGCATGTGGGAAGAGGTGATACAGGATAGAGCTTTTGATTGGAAGGCTTCTTAGAAGTTCTGGCAGTAGGTGGTAGCTTAGACTGGTGTGGTGACTAGTCCAAGAAGTTCTGGCAGTAGGTGGTAGCTTGGACTAGTATTCCTAAGAATAGGCTGGATTCAGGATGTGTTTTGAAAGGAAGCAAGCTACTAGACTTGCAAATAGAGTCAGTGTGAAGATAGAAAAAATGAAGGATGACATGCAGGTTTGAACTTGATGAGTTTGTTGGGCAGTATCATATATTGATATGGGGATATGTGGAATGGAGCAGATGTTTGGGGGAATATTTTTTGTTCTGTTTTGAGCCTGTTGGGTTAAAGAACTGAATAGGAGTAGGTATGAGGTCTCGATTCCCAGATGGTGAAACTGAAACTAATGAAAGCTGATGTGATTTGTCTGGGATCATGTAACAACAGTTCAGTTTCCCTGTAGACGTGAATTCTGGGTTTGACCTCCTTCCCTCTCTCCCTCATTCCCTCCTTCCTTTTCTCCCTTCTCTCTTTTTTTGTTTTTGTTTTGTTTTGAGTCAGGGTCTTGCAGTGCTACATAGGCTGGTCTTGAACTCTTGACTGCCTCAACCTGCCTACTTGTAGATGCATGCCACTGTGCCCAGCCTGGACCCAGGTGTTCTAATCACATCATCTTCCTCATTCTCTTCTTGTACTTCTTCACAGTTTCTTATCAGCACAGTGAAAAAAGTCCAGGCCCAGAGGCATCAGACCTAAAGTCTTAGCTTTATGCCAGTTAGCTCTGATCATGTCATTTCTTAGATTCTCAGTTGATGGCTGAGAAAGCATTCTGTGAGGCTTACCTATCTCTTTCTTATAGATTGTGATAATGAGAACACTTTTACTTACAAGAGTACAGCATAAATTCAAGGGATTATCAGGGATTCTTATACTTTAAGTAAATGTAGTCTTAGAAGCAGGTGAATTTATTGACATTGTTGATGGTTGCAGGTGAGAGCACAGAGCCGAGATAAGCAGATAGAAGAAAGGATGCTGTCCCACAGGCAAGATGACAACAACAGGCATGCAACCAGGCACCAGGTACGGGCCTTGTGAAAGCTCTGGCCAGTCACAGATTGAGGTCCATCTTTCGGATCTCCTTTGCCCCATAAAACTATCTTTATAGGCATATCCATGCCTCTTGTTTCCCATGATACACCTGAATATCTGGACTTCCAGGCATCAAGTTGGAATCATGTTTGATTTTCATAAAGCACACACTTCTACTTCATAAATGGAGGAATTAGGTTATTTGTAATAATAATAGTAGTAGTGGTACTAGTAATAAAAATATTCTGATTCTTTGAAAGGTTACATTGCTGTTCCAATTTCCTCATTTGGCATCCTTATTTTAACCTATTGTGGTTGGCTTTCAAACTCCCTCTGCTTTGCTGGCATATTTTCATTGTTACCAGTGGCGTTTCCTCAGTATTTGACATTTATCAGCTGGGCCATTTTTCTTCTACTTCTGTGTTTCTGTGATTTCCAAGAAGCATCTTTGTTCTGTACTAATCCTTCTCTCTGAACATTTGAGCCATATAGATTGCACTTAATTCCTTGCTTCTTCCTAAATGACTTTGATCTTTGCTAGAATTCTATACTAAGACCAAGAAGAGATTACATATATATCCTTCTAGGCCTTGAACAATTCTTTGCTGTTACACAGATTCTTCTAAGACCTTTTCCTACAACTGTTGAATCTTTTCTTCATGTAGTCTCTCATTTAATATTCCCAGAATGTCAGCCTTTGTAAAATATTAGTCCTAGCTTATCATCTAGGCATGTATTTTCTTCGGTTAGAGTATAGGTTATGAATAGCAGAAGAGCTGTGGTGGCGAGGAAGAGGTTTGCCTTTGGAGCTGAACAGATCTGGGTCCAAATACTGTGATTCTGTCTCTAGCTGTATTGGCCAGGCAGGCCAGCCAGCTTCTGTAAATGTCATTTCTTTTTTAGTGTGAAGGAGTAAATGATGCCTACCTGTCAGGGTAGACATCTAAATTGTGTTTGTGCTGTACCTATCCCAGTGCTTGGCAGGCAAAAAGCACTTCATAAGTGCTACTTAAACTTTTTTCATTGCCTGTCATAGTCTATTTTTGCTCCATTTTTTTATCTTGTGAGTTTTTTTGTACCATCATTGATTGGATCAGTAAGTAAACATTACTTGAAGAACAGTAAACATTTTGTAAATATTACGGATTGAATGTTCTGTATGTATTTCTGTCTTGGTGGAGACATCTATCTTTCAGTGGGGGGTGGGGGGGGGCGGGACAGGAACCTTGCTATCTAGCCCTGTCTAGACTGCAACTGCAACTGGCTATGTAGACTAGGCTGGCCTTGAACTTAGAGCAGTCCTGCTGCCTCTGCTGCTTTTACAGACATGACTCACAACACTGCTGTGAATTCCATTCTTTATTCATACTAATTAAAATGAGTTTGTATTTCTGAACTGGCAGTGAGGATTGTGATTGGGATCATAAAGGAACATGATTTGGAATTATAAAATAAGTACATTATTCACTGTGTGACTGTAATGTTTCTAGCACTTTTTCTTTCTTATTTTAAGAAAAATTCTTTTTTTTTTTTTTAAACTGGGTGTGGTGGCCCATTCCTGCAATCCCAGCACTACAGAGTTTGAGACAGAAAGACTGCCAGCCAGGGCCACAGAGTGATATGCTTTCTTTTTTTTAATTTGTTCTTTTTGAGACAGGGTTTCCCTGTAGCCCCAGCTTGCCTGGATGGAACTCACTATGTAGACTAGGCCACGATTAAAGGCATGCGTCACTACACCCAGCCTATGCTCTCTTTTTTTTAAGTATGAATGATAGTGCATACTTATGACCCTAGCACTTGGGAGGTGGAAGCAAGATGATCAGAAATTCAAGTATATCTTTGAGTACATAGCAGGTTCGAGGCCAGCTTGGCTTACATGAGACCCTATCTCAAAAAACAATCTTTTTAAAAATTGGTACTTTTGAAGCTTAACTTCATAATAAGTTTTCTAGCCAGCTTCTTAGTTTTGTTTTTCTCTTAGGCACCAACAGAGAGGCAACTGCGATACAAGGAGAAGGTGGCTGAACTCAGGAAGAAAAGAAATTCTGGACTAAGCAAAGAGCAGAAAGAGAAATATATGGTAAGGAAAGAGTTCAATATTTAATTAGCCTAAAATCTCGCTGTCACATTGGATTCAAAGCGTCTATCTTTCAGATTTACTTTTTGCTATTTTCCACAGGAGATTATCCGGTGAATACCAAGAATCTCTTCTCTAGTACTTAGTACCCTTCCCTCTCCCATATTGGAGCCGTAGAAAGTATAGCAAGAAGTCTTGTAGAAATGAGATATAGTTAGATACTGTTTTTGAGAATTGCATTCCCTAGGGCTAGGTACATAGCTCTGTTGGTAGAGTCCATTCTCTATAATTTTTTTTTTTTTGGTCTTTTTGAGACAGGGTCTCCCTGTACCCCCAGCTGTCCTGGAACTCGCTATGTAGACCAGGCTGGCCTTGAATTCACAGAGATCCACTTGCCTCTGCCTCCCGAGTGCTCGGATTAAAGGCGTGCGCCACCACACCCGGCTTAGTTTTTATTTTTATGTGTGTTATGAGTGTTTTGTTTTCATGGATATCTGTACCACATGTGTGCAATGCGCACAGAGGCCAGAAGAGGGCATAGGATCCCCTGGAACTACAGACATTTAGCCACCATTTGGGTGCTGGGAACTGAACCCAGATCCTCTGCAAGAGCAGCCAGTGCTCGTAACCACTGAGCCATTTCTTCTTCCCTCTTCTCTATAAGTTTTAAAGAATTAAATTTAAGTAGATTCTGGTGGTAAGGACCTACAACTCAATTACTCTGAAGGCTAGGCAAGAGGATGATGTATTCAAGGCCTACCTGGGCTACCAAGTAAGTTCCAGCTAGCCTCAGCAATTTAATGAGACCCTGTCCCAAATAAATAAAGGGCTGGTTATAGAGGTCAGTGATAGAACCCATTTTGTTTTTTATTTATTTATTTATTTTAATATTTTATTATTTTTATTCTATGTGTATGAGTGTATTGCCTGCATATAGTTAAGTGCACCCGTGTTGTGCAATGCCCGTGAGGACAGAAGAGGCCACTGGATTCCCTGGAACTGGAGTCACAGACAGCTGCTAGCCACCATGTGGGTGCTGGGACTTGAACCCAGGTCCTCCACAAGAACAACCAGTGTTCCTGACCACTGAACCATCTCTCTAGCCCTAGAATCCATTTTATAAGGGCCTAGGTTCAAGCTCTAGTATTGGGGAAGGTGTAAATCCGCTCACTGAAACAAACACTTGACATTAGAAATGTCTGTATGAGATGAAATATTCAGGGACTAGGGATGTAGCTTAACAGAGCACTTTCCTAACGTGCAAAGCTTTGAGTTCAATCCCTAGTGTCACCAAAATTAAAAGGAAAAACTCTTCAAATTTCTGGACCCCCTTTTTTTGGTGGGGGGGTAGGTCTTTTTGAGACAGGGTCTCCCTGTAGCCCCAGCTGGCCTGGATGGAACTCACTGTGTAGACCAGGCTGGCCTTGAACTCACAGAGGTCTGCCTGCTTCTGCCTCCCAAGTGCTGGGACTAAAGGCATGCTTTACTATGCCTGGCTCAAAAACACTATTTTTATTTTATGTGTGTGTCTATTGCCTGTATGTATATAAGTGCACCAGTGTAGTGCAATGCCTGCTGAGGTCAGAAGAGGGCATTGGATTCCCTGGAAATGGAGTTAGGATAGTTTTCAGCTGCTGTGTGGATGCTGGGAATTGAACCCTGGTCCTCTGAAAGAACAGCCAGTGCTCTTAACTGCTGAGCTATTTCTCCAGCCCCCTAGTGGGCTTATTTTAATGGAGAAATTAATTTCCTCCAGTATAAAATATATTCATTTGGGTGATAGAGTCTTGAATAGATCTTCTTTTTTTTTTTTTTTTTTTTTTTTTTTTTTTTTTTTTAAAAAAAAAAATTTTTGTGTGTACACCTGTATTGCCTGCATGTTGGTAAGTGTACCCATGTCGTGTCCAGCAATGCCCGAGGAGGTCATAAGAGCCTGTCGGATCCCCTGGAACTGGAGTTACAGACAGTTGTTAGCTGCCATGTGGTGCAGGGATTCAAACCCGGGTCTTCTGCAAGAATAACCAGTGTTCTTAACTGCTGAGCCATCTCTCCAACCCCAATCTTCATTATTTTAAGTTTTTTAGCTTTTTGGGACAAGGCTCATTCTAGCCCAGGCTGACCTAGAACTCATAGCAGTTTGCTTGTTTCAGATTCTGGAGTGCTGGTATTACATGTGGGGCCACCATGCCCCGTTGTTTAATCGATCGTTATATACGGAAGAGAAGATTAATCTACCTAAAAATAGCCACAATTTACGTTTTAGGAATTTTCTAGCTTTTACATTGTACCTACTTCATTTTCTTCAGTAGACTGTAGCTCTTCAGGTGCCTATCTTTTAAGTATCTTGAACTAATGTCCTTTTTTCATTTAAGTCTTCAGTCTTTTACTGAATAAAATGTAGCTTTTTAGGTAAAGATTTATTTATTTATTTATTTTTGGTCTTTCTGAGATAGGGTCTCCCTGCAGCCCCAGCTGTCCTGGAACTCACTATGTAGACCAGGCTGGCCTTGAACTCACAGAGATCTGCCTGCCTCTGCCTCCCGAGTGCTGGGATTAAAGGCGTGCGCCACCATGCTCGGCGGTAAAGATTTATTTATTATTGAAAATGTATTAGTACATGTTTACTACTGAGATATAGCCAGACATGGTGGTGTATGCCTAGAGTCCCAGCCACTTGGGAAACTGAGGTGGAAGGATCCCTTAAACCCAGGGTTGGAGGCCAGCCTGGGCAACATGGCAAGATCCTGTTTCAAAACAAAACAAAACAAAAAAACAGAAGAAAGAAAAGCCAGGGTGGTGGCTCATACCTGTAGAGAGTTGCTGAGGCAGGAGGATTGCCATGATTTTTAAGCCAACCTGGGCTATATAGTCAGTTCCTGGTCATCCTGGGCTATACAGTGAGACCCTGTCTTAGGGTGGGGAAAAGTAGGAAGGAAACCAAAAACAACATGACCAACAAAATTACCCACCCCCAAAGATAGAAACTACTGTGTAATAATGTATTGATGTGTGTTTGCTCAGACTTTTATTTTTTCATAGAATTGGAATATTTTTCTACTTAGTCACTAGAATAGGCAAATAAGTGTATGATCTGTGAATAAACAGAACATGGCCAATGTATGGTGGGTTGTTGGAGGAAGTTTGTAGCTGAACACATGCAGTGCCAGACTGTTGGCTTTATGGACTAGGTAGAGGACTGGTAGTGGGCTCTGGGGGGCAGATGGCATTTTTGCCCCTGAATTGTTTGGTGTTTGTTATCTGTAAGTTAAACAGAGGTGTTGTTACACAATGATGTCATTTACAAAGGTGTGATGCACCCTTTACCCATATAGTAACTCTATAGGTTGGATCTCTTTCACTTTGGGAAAATTGAAACTTAGAAGAGGTAATGGGGCCTTTAAATTATACAGGTAGGGAGAGCATCTGACATAAAAGCTTCTGAAATGTTTAACCTTTCAGACGTCTGCCTTTCACTTTTGAGATAGGTCATTTGGACCCTTCCTGACTTAAAAATGCTGGATAGGATTTTTTCTTGTTTGCTTTCTGCTTTTTTGAAACAAGGTCTCATGTAGCACAGGCTAGACTTGAACTTGCTATGTAGCCAAGGCTGACCTTGAGTTGAGTTTCCTCCCTGCATCTCCCAAATATAGGTATATGAGTACTTGTCCAGCACAAAGCCCTGGGTTCTGTCCCCAGCACTGTGGTTGTGGGCATGTAATCCCAGTACTTGGGTCTTAGAAGCAGGAAGATTTTAAAAGTTTGAGGTCTTCCTTGACTACTAAGCAAGTTCAAGGCCTACCTGAACTTGTAGAAAAGGGGAAAAATTGATATTTGTGGAAATAGACTAAGTATTATTTAAGTAACAGAGACTAGATTTCACCAAGCTGAATGGCAGAAGCAGATTAGCCAGCGGAAGTTTTAATAGGGTGGGTTGGTTTCTTTAGATGCTAATGTGTGTGAATGTAGGATGTGCTTCCTGGGATGAGCCTTTTCCACTTAACTTTCTTTGTCTTCTATTCTTGGGGGAGGTGGAGTCTAGAGCAGAGGAAAGGGCTAGAACCAGATTTAAGAGACGTCTCCCTCCAACTTCCTTCCAGGGAAAAGATACTTGTGACCAGCATGGTAAGGTTTCAGTTATTTAAAACTGGGTTCTTTTTATGCTTTAAAAAGTCTCTGTGACTCTTCTATTTTCCTTAGTCTTACTGAAACGTGTTAAGGATTCTAGCTTGTTCTTCCTTTGCTTTCGGGCTGGGGTTGTAGAGTGGGCAGTTAATGAACTGGAAGCGATTGGAGTCAAGAGAATTTGCTGCCCTCCCTTCTTGTAGGTTTTCCTTTCCAGTCAGCATCTTGAAGCACTAGGGTTTGGAGACTCTGGTTATTTTTTTCAAGTCTGGGAGTATCTTCAGATCTCAGGACTCTCGAATTTATAGTGTCTTTAGGAATTTCCCACCCTTACGTGGTCCAGATTTAGTAGTATGGGTGATTGGTGGCCTCTGACTCTAACCTACTGAATAGTTTGCCCGAGTTCATTCCCATGTACCTAATGTGTAGGCACTACATAAACAGCTTCTGGTTGGAGTTGGCATCCATTGGGATGAAATGAACTTAAGTTCGTAGCAGCAAAGAGTATCATGCTCCGGTTATTTTTCCTAGGAGCACAGACAGACCTATGGGAACACCCGGGAACCTCTCTTGGAAAACTTGACCAGCGAGTATGATTTGGATCTTTTCCGAAGAGCACAAGCCCGGGCTTCTGAGGATTTGGTGAGTGTCGAAACCCCCACACTGAGGGGAGAACCTTGTGGAAAGGCCCTTAGAACTGCCAAGAAAAGTGATTAGTTGCCAGTTTGATGGGAATTAGATGTACTTTGGTGCTGAAATCTCTTCCCCTTCCCCCACCTGTTTTTGTTTTGTTTTGTTTTTTGTTTTTGAGGCAGTTCTTACCATTCACATTTAAAACACATCACCCCTCCTCATCCTCTTTCCCTTTTCTCCTTCAACTGGAAGATCCAGTTTGGTTGTTGTAATGAGGCTGGTTAAAACCCAGCGTGCCCCTTTGTCTTTGTAGGGTAATTTACAATTCTGAGACCCTCAGAACTTGGGCTGTGCCCAGCAGTACCTTCTCTTTTGGAGGGTTTCTTTGCATTTCAATAAACTTACCCTAGAAGCATGAAAATAACAGTGAAGAAAAAGGATGGGGAAGACTGTACTTGGGCCACAGGGACATACAGGATCTCCCTATAGCCCTAGCTGGCCTGAACCTCACCCTGTATACTAGGCTGGATCTGCCTCCTAGTGCTGGGATTAAAGGTGTGCCCTACCATACCTGGCCTTTATTGATTTTTTTTTTTTTTTTTGACATGGGTCTCACCTTGTTGCCCAGAAGGTTTCAAACTTCTGGGCATGCAATCCTTCTATGGGGACTCCAGGTACAGGTACATGCCATACCTAGGCAGAATTTTTCATTTTTGTTTGTTTTGATACAGGGTCTAGTATAACTGCTCTCTATAATTCACTGTGTAGATAGTGTTGCCCTCCCTCTCCTAGTTCTAGGATTAAAGGCATGTAAAACCATATCCATCTCTTAGGTAGAGTTGGGGGTGGGGTGTCTTTTTGAGATAGGGTTTCCCTTTAGGCCCAGTTGGCCTGGAACTCGCTCTTGTAGACAAGGCTGACCTCCATCTCACAGAGATCCACCTGCTTCTGCCTCCTGAGTGCTAGTACTAAAGGCATGTGCTACTACACCTAGCTTCTACATCAACTATGATTGAGTTTACCTCAGCAAATTAAATGTGCTCAGAAAAATTTAGTTTGTAAAATTAATTTCATCCAGTCCCCTCCTCCCTTTTATTATATCAAATACTATGGTTGAAAACTGATAGGAGAGGGTGTAGGTTTGGTGACTGCTCTGGGCTCGAAGAGGTTGTTGGCACTACCTGCTCTTCTCTCTTGCTGTGAAGAGCAGTACCTAAGCCAGCCTTTCACAGTTCTTCACTCAGTTGTACTTAGAAAACATTGTTGTGGGCCGGAGAGATGGCTAGGTGGTTAAGAGCATTGGCTGTTCTTGAAGAGGACCAGGGTTTGATTCCCAGCACCCCTATGGTGGCTAACAACCTTCGGAAGCTCCAGTTCCAGGGGATCTGACACCTTTTCTGATCTCCTTGGGCATTGTACAGCACGGGTACACTTGTACACATGCAGGCAATACACTCATACACATTAAAAAAAAGAAAGACAACATAGCTGCCCAGTGTGTACTTACAATCTCAGCACTTGAAAGTTGGAAGAAGGAAGATAAAGAAGCAGTTTGAGGCCAGCCTGGGCTATGTGAGACCCTTTTTCAAAAAAACAGAAACAAGGGCCAGTGAGGTGGATCCAGCAGGTGAGGGTCCTTCCTACCATTTCTGACCTGAATTCAAGTCCTAGGACCCACATGATGAAAGAGAAGAAATGACTCAAAATCTGTCCTCTGAACTCTGTGTTACACACACAATAAATAAATGTAATTTAAAAGCAGAAACAGCTGGGTGTGGTGGTGCATGCCTTTAATCCCAGCACTCGGAAGGCAGAGGCAAGTAGATCATTGTGAGATCAAGGCCAGTCTGGTCTAAGTAGTGAGTTCCAGGTCAGCTGAGGCCACCAGAAGACCCTGTCTCAAAAAAAAGGAAAGGGACTGAGAATCTGGCTTTGTTGCTTTGTTGGTAGAGTGCTTGAGTTTGAGGCTGACTCTAGAATACACAAGGCCTTGTTTCGAAATATATATATATGTATTTCATTTCCTACCTCATACATACATAACCTGTGCCTGGGCAATATAGACAGCATATTTCCTGGGTGCCTGCCCGATTTTCCATACCCAGGTAACCCTCTTTAGTGTGTTTCTCGGGTGGAGCCCAAATCTAGCTGACTATTTTCACAGTTTAGTATGCTAGCCTGGCATAAACTTACTACATATTTTTAAAAAACAAGGATGAAAGCCGGGCCTGGTGGCACAAGTCCTAGCACTTGGGAGGCAGAGGCAGGCGGATCTCTGTGAGTTCGAGGCCAGCCTGGTCCACATAGTTCCAGGACAGCTGAGGCTACAGGGAGACCCTGTCTCAAAAAGACCAAAAAAAAAAAAAGGATGATGGGCTGGAGAGATGGCTGAGCAGTTAAGAGCACTGGTTATTCTTGCAAAAGACCTTGTCGATTCCCAGCACCCACATGCGGCTAACAACCATCTGGTATTCCAGTTCCAGGGGATCTAACACCCACTTCTGTCCTCCCTGAGCACTGCATGACATGGGTATACTTATACACATGTATGCAATGCACTCGTACACATAAAATAAAAAATAAAACAAGAATGATAGATTCTAATCCTTTAAACTTTTATTTCTTTTTGGCAATAGGAAAAGTTAAGGCTTCAAGGCCAAATCACAGAGGGGAGCAATATGATTAAAACGATTGCTTTCGGCCGCTATGAGCTCGATACTTGGTACCATTCTCCCTATCCTGAAGAGTATGCACGGCTGGGACGTCTCTACATGTGTGAATTTTGTTTGAAATACATGAAGAGCCAAACAATACTCCGTCGGCACATGGTATGTTGTTTGGATTCCTTTGCTGGGACCATGCCATGCTGGTGATATTAGAGGATTTCTGGATTATGCCCTAGAGATAAAGATAACATTTCTCAGGTGTCCACATCAGTAGGATGGAGGCTTAAGGAACTGAATGCCACATTTCAGGGTGAGCCTCTGCCAGGATTGGTGCTAGGTGGCACCTTAACCACATCCTGTCATATATGTATCTTTGTTTCCTACTCTTTCTTCCTGAGAGTATGCATTACCTCTCCCCACAGTTCATGGGTATAGCATACTAGATGAAAATACCATACACTTCATTAGGTAGGTTAAGGACAGTGTAGCTCATGTTCTGGTCAGTGAGTGTCTAGGAGGTGTGTGTTGAATGAGTGTACATCCAAGGGAGATCAGCCTGAAAACCAGCCTATAGTGGATAGTGAAAGTAACAGTGTTTCAGCAGATTTCATTTCTAAGCATTCTTCCTGTTGAAACAGGAAGGATGTGGTACACTCCTGGGTCTAGTGAATTATGAGTATAGAGACTAAATTTTAGGAAATGCAAACCTATTTTAATCCATGCCTATTCTGATTCCCATTGCTTCAGGTGTAATCATTGAAACGCCCTCTTTGGCTAATGTTTCTCAGCAAATAGTTATAGTTGTATTAGTTTGGTTATTGTTGGAAAGAACCACTAGGCTTAAGGGGTGGAAATAGGAACGGAGATGTCACTTTGAAGCAATTCCAGCTAATATTTTAATTTACTTGTGATAATTAGAGCATAATAATCCCCACTCCCTCTCCCAGATGCCAGGGAAGGAATACAGACCCTCACACATACTGGGCGAGTACTCTACCATTGAACTACAGTCCCAAACCTGGAATATAAGTCCTGGAAGTTTGTGTGTGTGTGTGTGTGTGTGTGTGTGTGTGTTCTAGTTTGTTCTTCATTACTTTGACAAAATACTCTGACCACTACCAACTTGGGGAGGAAAGGATTTATTCAGCTTACATCTCCCAGGTCACAGTTCATCAGGGAGCCCAAGGTAGGAACTCAGGGCAGGAACCTGGAAGCAGGAGCTGGAGCACAGGCCATGGAAGACCGCTGCTTACTGGCTTGCTTTCCTGAGCCCTGCTCAGCCTGCTTTCTTATGTAACACAGGCCCACCTTCCCAGGGGTGGCACTACCACAGTGGGCTGGGCCCTCCCACATCACTCAACAATCAAGAAGGTGCCCCATGGACATGGCCATAGGCCAGTCCAGTGAAGGCAATTCTCTAGTTGAGGCTTCCTCAACCCAGGTGTGTCAGTTGACACTAAAACTATCCAGCACAGTGTGTGTGTGTGTGTGTGTGTGTGTGAGAGAGAGATTTTTGTTAGTTACTAAAAATTATATGCGTACGAGTGTATTGCCTGCATATACATTAAGTGCACCTGTGTCATGCAGTGCCCATGGAGGTCAGTAGAGGGCATCAGATTCCCCTGGAACTGGCGTTACCAGGGAGTTGTTAACCTCTGTGTGGGTGCTGGGAATTGAATCTAGGTCCTCTGCACACCACTGAGCCATCTCTCAAGTCCAGGATCTCTATCTTTAGCTCAGGCTGGCCCCAAACTTGTAGCTATCCTCCATTTGCATCTGGAGTACCAAGATGGCCAGTGTGTACCACTATGTTCAGTGGAACTTGATGCCTGAGTTGTCAAAATTGTAATGAGAGCCAGGGTGGTGGTGCATACCTTCAATCCCAGCACTTTGGAGGCAGAAGCAGGCGGATCTCTGTGAGTTTGAGGCCAGCCTGGTCTACATAGCGAGTTCCAAGCCAGCTGAGGCTACAGAGAGATCCTGTCTCCCAAAAAAAGAAAAACGTTATTCAATAAGAAAATTCTCATGTGTATACTTGCGTTAATTTTTTTGTATGCAAGTGCACAGGTGCCATGGCACACATCTGAGGATCAGAGAACACCTTGTGGAAATTGGTTCTCTCCTGCCATATAGGTTCCCAGGATTGAACTCAGGTTATCAGGCTTGGTAGTAAGCACTTTTACCCACATACCATCTCACTGACCTACATTAAAATCCTTTAAAATATATATTTTTTTTTATTTTGTGTTATAAGTGTATTGCTTGCATATATGTAAGTGCACCCATGTTGTGTGCAGTGCCTGCGGAGGACAAAAGAGAGCATCGGATCCCCTGGAACTGGAGTTACAGATGGTTGTTAGCTACCAAGTGGGTGCTAGGAATCGAACCAGTGCTCTTAACTCCTGAGCCACCTCTCCAGCCCCCATTAAAAAATTTTAAAGCCAGTTATGGTGGTGTAATCTTAACAGAAGGGTTGTGAGCTCAAGGTCAGCCTGGGCTAAAGAGAGAGGCCTGTCTCAAAACAAAACAAACCAAGAGAAACCTTTTGTGGAGTTGGAGAGATAGCTCAGTGATTATAAGAGCACTGGCTCTTGCAAAGGACCTGGGTTTGGCTCCCAGCACCCATATAACATTTAGCAACCATTTAGAACTCTACTTCCAGGGGATCCAACATCCTCTTCTGGCATTGTGGGCATTGCATGCACATGGTACACTTACATACATACAGGCCAAACACACATAAAGTAAAAACAAAATTCGGAACAAAACAAAAAGCCTTTCATGAAGCAAACCAAACTATTGGTATTTGAGGGTAAGGAAAAGGGGGTACTTTGTGCACTCTTGTGATCAAGTGCCTTGTAGCTTCCTGCTGCTCAGCTAGGCCTTCTACCTTTTTTAATAATTGACAGAAGAACACTCTCCTGATGTAACATGGTGAGAGGTGGGCAGATAGTGAGTGGTTTGTGGTTTTTATTAATGTAGATGTGTTTTCCAATCTGAAAAAAAAGACAGTTAAGCTAAGGTGGTAATGAGACGTTACTGGTAAAGGTGCATGTGGCATGCTTAGCAACACTAAGCTGTCAGCATAAGCTGCTTAAGAATTTCCTTTTGGCATAAGGCATTTTATTATAAGCAAGGGTATTCTTACATGGCTTTATGTAGTAGGTGGTTTTATTCTTCTGCCCTGAAATAATGCCAAAATAAAATATAGAAAACTTGGGCCAAACAGCTATGCAATACCATATAAATATATTGCAGTAACTTGAGGCCTTCATTTGTTTTACCGGAAACAATAAGTTTTGCTTTTTGTTCTTAAGTGTGTCCAACTCTCCATTAACTCAGTTAAGAAACTGGGATTCTAAACCTTTCCCCTTTTAAGGAACAGTGTTGTAGGAAGCCTTGATTCCTTCATGTGAACTCTACTCTCTTGCAGGCCAAGTGTGTGTGGAAACACCCTCCTGGTGATGAGATATATCGCAAAGGTTCCATCTCGGTGTTTGAAGTAGATGGCAAGAAAAACAAGGTAAAAAGTGGTGAAAGAGATGTACTGATGTCAGACATTGATGGGGTCCAAAGAAGATAGAAAATTTGTGTATTTGGCAATAGCATAGTTTTGTTTCATGGGCAATACTGGTATGGTCTTTCTTTTTAGGCTTTGATCTGGGTAAGTTTAGAAGTCACTGACTCTCAAACTCTCTTTCTCTGCTTCCAGATCTACTGCCAAAATCTATGCCTTCTGGCAAAGCTTTTTCTTGACCATAAGACGCTATACTACGATGTAGAACCCTTCTTGTTCTACGTTATGACAGAAGCGGACAATACTGGCTGTCATTTGATTGGCTATTTTTCTAAGGTCAGTAGGATCTGTTGATTTTGATGCTTAACAGCCAGGGCAGTATTCTGGGTATTGGCATTTAAGGGCTCAAATCCCTGATAGAGAAGCAAACAGAAATGACAGCCTTCCCATACAGAAAAGAAAGGCACTTTTGTATCATAGATAGTTTAATGAAAGTGTTCAATTTTGTTTTCTGAGACAGGATCTTACTGTCACCCAAGCTAGTCTGAAACTCAGACTGCTGGCATTGAACTTGGGACAGTCTTCCTGCCTAAGCCTCCAGACTGCTGAGATTACAAGTATGAGTCAGGACTGTTGTGATATTATTAGAAGGTTCTAGTTTATTCATTTTGTGCTTGATGTGGGAGCTGCCTATTACATACTGGCCCTGCCCTCCTCATGAACTCATAAGCCTAATCTTACAGTCAAGCCAACTCTTCTGGCTTTGCCTTCCTCCAGGTTAGTCGATTGAAACCAGAAACATGCCAGGTGTGGTGGTGCACACCTTTAATCCCAGGATTTGGGAGGCAGAGGAGGCTGACCTCTTGTGAGATCATAGTGAGTTCCAGGGCAGCTGAGTCTACAGAGAGACTCCATCTCAAAAAAAAACAAGTGCCCCCCAAGTTCCAGGTCAGCTGGGGCTACAAGGAAACCCTGTTTCCAAAGATAAAAAAACAAAACAAAACAAAAAAAACTTCAGTGACAGTGTTCCTTTGCCTTTAAGATTTATTGTTATTGGGGCTAGAGAGATGGCTCAGTGGTTAAGAGCACTGACTACTCTTGCAGAGGACCCAGGTTTGATTCCCAGAACCCATATGGCTGCTATGAACCGTCCTTAACTCCAGTTATAGAGGAATCTGAAGCACTCTTCTGACCTCCGTAGCATTAGGCATGACACAGGTGCACTCACATACATGCAGGTATTTTTTAAAGATTTATTTTTATTATTTTAATTAGGTGTGTGTGTTTGTGTCTGTGCACACCTGAGTGCAGGAACCTGCAGAGGAACTGGAGTCACAGAATTAACTATGTGGGTGCTGGGAACTGAACCTGGTCCTCTATAAGACCTTTTAACCTCTGAGCCATCTCTCCAGCCCCAGTTGAAGGGTGTTTTGTTGCTGTTGTTGTTGTTATTGTTTTGTAGACAGGGTCTCCCTGTAGCCTCAGCTGGCCTGGAACTTGCTATGGAGACCAGGCTGGCCTCAATCTTAGATCCTGCCTCTGCCTCCTGAGTGCTGGGATTAAAGACTTGTTGCCACTGTGTCTGGCAGCTTAAGGGTTTTTTGATGTAACAATTTAAATAAAATACAATGTTCCATACAATTCACTAATTAAACTGTACAAGTCAGTGGCTTCTAGTATATGGTAGAGTTCTGTGACTTGCAGTCATCCCAGCTTGCCTTGTTTTAGGAAACATTGTACCCCTTAGCAGTCAGTCTCCTCTGTGACCTCTCTTGAACCTTCTGCCTACAAAATCACATTTTCTTCATATAAATGGAGTCATATAAATATGTGATTTGGTCATATCTTGACCCCTTCCAAACGGAGGAATTGTATTTTGTTTTCTTTCCTTCCAGTAGGCAGGTTGTCTCTAAAGAGGGCTACTGCAGGCTGACTCAGCAGAGTGGCTTTGACATGGTTTGGGTCTGTAACAGTTCTAAAGTAAGCCCCTTAAAATGATACTGGAGGTCTCAGAGCTAGAGAGACCCTAGGATTAATGGCTGTTACCATCATAAGGCATGGATGTAACAGCTGTGAGCCTTGCCACCTAGCATTAACAGGTATTTTGCAAGCAGTCTTATTTTCTCTCTGTGATTGTTGGGACTGGGGGACCTGAAACTTTTGATCCCAAACTTTCATGACCTGCTCATCTATTTGTTCTTAATTTTAGGAGAAGAATTCATTCCTCAACTACAATGTATCCTGTATCCTTACTATGCCTCAATATATGAGACAGGGCTATGGCAAGATGCTTATTGATTTCAGTAAGTCTAGCTGTTGAGTATCAACTCTTCAGACAGGGACCCTGTGGGCATTGTTGATCACTTTTTGTTCTGTGCTCTGTACAATTCCTCGCATGTAGTGGAAGTGCTCTGACATCTAGTAAGTGAATAAATAGATAAAGGAAGCATGAACACTTAGCAGTGTGCCTGATGCTCACAATGAATATGGAACTTTGAGTTGCTCCTAAATTAGTAGAGTCAAGAATGATGAAAATAAGCTCTTAAGGATTATCTCAGCTTGAGACTTTTAACTAGGAAATGCATGCATAGGGCTTAAAGCTGTTTCTTTGATGTTTGGGATTTCACTTATGTAAGCACTTATGGAGATAATCCATGTACCTGATTCAGACTTTGGGTGTTGATACTCTGTCCTCGTTAATTGTGGATTTCATCATTTCATGTTCACGAATTTGTCTTCTTACTAAAATTTATAACTCCCAAATCAGGGAACAGCTTTTTTTTTTTTTTTTTAAACATTTATTTGTTTTGTGTGGGGTTTACTCATGCCACAGCACATATGGAGGTCAGAGGACAACTTGACATCCTACCATTTGGGTCCCAGAAATCAAACTCAGGTCATCGGACTTGGTGACAAGTACCCTAAACTGCTGAGCCATCTCACTGGCCTCTTAAATGTTGTACTCAAATGGTGACCAGCACGGGAAGACTAATAGACCTACAGAGGTTAGATGAACTTTCTGCTGGCATAAATTACAGTGTTGTTGGTGTGAGTACAATATCTCTGGATCACCAGAATGTTCTATAAGATACTTTAACACAGAAACACAGAAAAGAAAGTTCCATATGGAGAAGTTGCTGACATGATAAAAGACTCTCCAGAAACTGATCTTTGTTCTCCCGGGAGCAGTGGTTCAGTATTTGTTTAGGATTTTCAGTTGCTGTAGGGCATGACCACAATGACAAACAGGAATCAGCTATGTACTATTTAGTGTCCATAACATTTTAGTCAAAGTAATTTTTTCTTACGGGGTGTGGTGGCAGCACTCCAGAGGCAGAGGCAGGCCAATCTCTTTAGTTCAAGGTCAGCTGGGGCTACTTGGTGAAACCTTATCTGAAAAAAAAATTTTATGTGCATGTGTGTATATGTTTACATGTATGAGCCCACATTCACATGTGTATGCATTTGCATATAGAGGCCAGAATTTGATGGGTGTCTTTCTCAGTCATGTTCCACTAGTCTGGGGCCAAACCAAGGGCTTACCAGTTAAGACTTGTCTAACTAGCCAGCTTGCCCCAGAGATCCGTTCTCTGCCTCCTGAGAGCTGAGATTACTGAAAGCCATCATGCCAGTTCTGGGGATCCAAACTCTGGTCTCCTGGTTTATCTACAGAGCCATCTCCCTAGCCCCAAAATGAGAAGTTTTAAAGCTGGACATTATTCATACCTATAATTCCAGCATTCAGGAGTCAGAGACCAGAGGAGGCCTGCCTCAGGAGTTGGAGGCCAGCCTGGGCTAACTCAAACAAAGCAAAAAGAGAGGTTGCTATATTATATAATGAAGCGACTTCCTGTCTCTGCATTGAGCAAACACCTACAGAGAACCATTATTAAAGTTCCTAGTGAAGGCTTCCAGGGTTTTTTAAGTGCCTGTTATAAGCAATTGCAAATACACATTCCTCCCCTCTTGTTTATACAAAGGCAGCATATTATCCTTAACAGCTTTACAGTACGTACTCCATTGCATGCCTGGCCCCCATGGTACTGCAAAGCAGTCGATCCCTCTTTTAAGTCTTCCTTGTTGACACACTGTTCTTTGCTATTAGGATGAGGTTTAGTATTGTTTTAAAAAGTCTGGCTGGGTTTCCCAGCACTGGGAGGCAGAGACAGGAGGGAAGATTTCACTACTGGTTCTAGGCCAGTCAGCACTGTAACACAGTGAGAACTTGTCTTAGAAAAGCCCCCTCACCTAGGGGCTGGTGAGAAACTGGGAAGTAAAGGTGCTTGCTGCCAAGCCTAATGACCTGAGTTCAGTTCCCAGAACCCACATGATGTACATGCACACACATACACACACATAGAGAAATAAATGTAATTTTTAGGGGCTCCCTCCCCCCAGAAAGAACAATAAACCCCCACAAAACCAAGTCTGTAATTTTTTCCTTGGCAGGTTATTTACTTTCCAAAGTAGAAGAAAAAGTTGGCTCCCCAGAACGTCCACTCTCTGATCTGGGGCTCATAAGCTATCGCAGTTACTGGAAAGAAGTACTTCTCCGTTACCTGCATAATTTCCAAGGCAAAGAGATTTCTATCAAAGGTTGGCTTTTAACTTCTGGGGATTATTAAGTCCACTAAGCTAGCCTCCTAGCTTTTCCATTTGGCCCTCATTCATGCTTTGTCACCAGCAAATAGTGCCCCGTTCTGTGTTTCATCTGACTACGAATACAGACCAGTGCAGAGACTGTCATTGTGAAGCCAAGGATTCCAGAGCATTGGGGCACTGGGGATGGAAGTGGGTTTTTTCTGTCTGGTGTTGTTAGCCTTTTTTTTTTTTTTTTTAACACACTTTTACTTCTTAGAAAAGTCAACGAGAAGCTGGTTGCGGTGGCTCACACCTTTAGTTCCAGCACTCAGGAAGCAGAGACAGGCAGATCTCTGTGAGTTCAAGGCTAGCCTGGTCTCCATAGCAAGTCCAGGCCAGCTGGGGCTACAGGGAGACCCTGTCTCAAAAAGACCAAAGAGAAAAGTGGAGAAAAATGTCAAGTATTTTGAAACATGTAAATTTTAAAGAAAGGTCTCTTACACAGAGGTGGACAAATATGGGATCCATATTTGACATTGATTACTAAGGGGCCAAGAAGTAGCTTCTTACTATTAAATCTGTTTTCTGTAGCTATTTTTGTACTGGTCAAAGATTCTGAACAGCTTGACTTAAGTACCAAGGAGTCTGACTCTGGGAAACCCTATGTGAAAGGTAGCCTTGGGATGTTGGGGTGGGATACCTGTCCTTTGGCCTGGGTCTCATACCTCTTCTGTTGCAGAAATCAGCCAGGAAACAGCTGTGAATCCTGTGGACATTGTCAGCACTCTGCAAGCCCTTCAGATGCTCAAGTATTGGAAAGGCAAACATCTAGTTTTAAAGAGACAGGTGAGACTTTTCATCAGCTACCTATTACTTGCTAGATATCCTTGAAGTAGGGTTCAGTGGGGGCCACACACCCTCCAAGTTAGTTTCCTGTTCTTACAGGATCCATTGAAAGCCCCTTCCACCAGCCATATTTCAGCTAGCAGTGAAGTTCCTGTGGCCTTTGTTACTAAGTTTATCTCCTCCTTTGTCCTTATCAGAGTTTCTGTCTCCGATTTGGATGGCACAGCTAAGCAGCTTTGTGTGGCACAGCACTTCTGCCATTTGATGATTTTCCTAGATTAAGAAAATGACCTGTTTGTGGAGGAATCCTTCTAAACTCTGGGACTTGGGAAGTGGTTTGGGATTGTTTTATTAATGGGCTGTCTCAACTCAGGCCCACTTTGCATTTTTAGTAACTTGTATGTATCATGAACATAGATAATGATTTTAATTTCTCACTGATGGCAAAGTGAGAAGAAATGGATTAGGGAGGAAAGTAGTTGCAAATCAAACTGATACTGCTTCATACCTTTAAACTTCGGTGAGCACTTAGTTAATAGTCATTTTGGGGATCTGTGTTTCAAAGTTTTTTAGCTCCATGTGTGTAATAACTCTTCCTTTGCTCTTCCCAGGACCTGATAGATGAGTGGATAGCCAAAGAGGCCAAAAGGTCCAACTCCAATAAAACCATGGATCCAAGCTGTTTAAAATGGACCCCTCCCAAGGGCACTTAAAAGTGGCCTATCATTCCGAGCCAGCGAGCCCCAGCAGTAGGAATCCGTACCCTAGGGATCTGTCTGTCATTTCTGTTGCTTTTGTGATTGGCAAGTACAGTATCCTTTGGGAAGGCCATCCCCCTCAGGACTGTCCTGGCTCTGACCTTCTTGTACACTGCAGACTCTAGTTCTGAGGAACTGTTGTTTCGGCCTCAGTGAGGTTGCCTGGATGGATCTGTATTAGGCTCAAGTGCAGATCCCTCATAGCACTGACCCAAGGAGTTCTGTTATGGTACTGTACCTGTCCAGTCACTGGTTCCCTCCTCATGTTCTCTAGCCCCATGAGGTGTGGTGTGTCCTCTGAACTTTGTACTAGTGCTTCTTCCTGCCTGGTCACTAGACCTCCAAACATGGTTGCTACCAAAGGGACCTTTCCAGTTACTCCTTGCACACATGTTTTGTGAAGGGACAGGGAACAGGCAGCACTTGTGAGTATATGTGTGTACTGAGAGGGGTCCATTCACCTTGGATTTCATCTCACTGTAACATTTTTTTCCTCCCATTTTATCAAAAGACTTGTTTTTTGTCAGTATCAGGCTGCCCAGAGCCAGGTACTTCTAAAGTGTTTCCCTGATCTTAACAGCATCTGAATGAGCTGGATGAAGAAGAGGTAGTGATTCCATGGTTTCATTTGGATTCACCTGTGGGCACTGCAGCAATGTCTTGATGGAAAGTAATGGATAATTCATTTTGCCAGACAAGAAAGGGCCCAGCAGTCAATTTTTTTCTGTATTTCCTGCCCTTTTTTATGTTTGCAGTTGCCAAAATATTTTAACAGTTTTCTTTCATGGCACATGTTAACTGGTTATTTACACAGTGGATCCTTTTCACCTGCCTGTACCACTCTTGTACAGGGCACCTATACTTCCACATATGTTGCACTGATTTTGTCCAGAGCTTCCTGGGAGAAGTGGAAAGTGGTTGAAAATGACTTGTGTTTCTCAGCCCATGACTCAGCAAGGCAGAGTGGCCACCCTGCTACGGTTTGCTTCCCTTTTCAACCGTACCTCCCCCTCCTCCAGGCTGAAGTGTGTTTGCCCCTCCAAAAACAACTCCATTTCCTTTTGGGACTTGCCACCGTTGTCCTGTTCTCTGCTCTCCTATTTTTGGTGGTGTTCAAGTGAAGGAAGAAATGTTCCCTCTAATTTCTCCCTGTCCCGTTATATAACCTGCTATCTTGGGGCAGCTTTTGATGTCTGACATGTCATCCTTCCCAACTTGGTCTCCTCCAGCACTGCTGTCTTCACGTGGCGCCCTCACCACAATCCCGACTCTGGTCATTTGTGCCTTTCTCTTGTCATCTCTGTACACTAATATTCACTGTGGGTTGGAGGGAGCTGGTTTTAAGCATGTTCAGTGGCAGCTCACCTCCAGTTTCAGTGTCACTGTTAAAATGTATCCAAAAGCAGCTTCACTGGGGGTTTTCTTAGGGGTAAAGGCCTTTTACAGATGCTGAACCCTCCCCACATGTGGTAGAATGTGCTCCTTATCTACTCAATAAAGCATGTTCTCTGCTCATGTCTGATTGATCTGAAGCTCATCTATGTGGAAATGATGCGACTCATCTGCCATTAATGGCACAGTGGATTGTTGGGGGTGGGGTTTGTATCTGTGGATTGTTTTCCCCCATGAGGCAGACTGTTGACAGTGAGCATTTACTCTGAACTCATAGTTGGAACAAATTCAGTCTGCCTTCATTTGGTGCCAGGTACTAGATAAAGCAACATCTAGCTAGTATTTTCTTACATTGAATTCATCTTCCCTGGTTTTAGAGTCCAGGACCCAGCAGGAAGTAGGTTGAGTTGAAGTGACATGGGTACTTAGTGGAGGCAGGAACAGGTGTATTCCTTTTTCTCCAAGGATACTCACTAGTTCCTGTCGTCTCTAATCATTCCCTGATCCAGGTTGTGCTGGAAATAGCTGCATTTTCTTGTTGTGTTTGCTCAGTACAGGAATGGGGAGGTTGGGCACGTCCATTCTTTTGGTAGAAAGAGATCTGTGTTTGCTGGGGTGGTTTTGCTCACTGTGGCTGGGCCCCTTACTCAGCTGGGAAATGAAATGGAGAAAAGCTTCCCCTTCTGTTCATTTGGAACAGTTCTCTGTTCTAACCATTGCCTCAGGGAAATTTTGTTCTTCAGCTATTGAAGATTGAAATAGATAACATAGACCATGAGAATTGAATGAATGCTGAGAGGTAAAGGTTCTTCAGGTTTTATGCACAGCCCTGATCCATGCCTCCAGACTAGTTGCCAGCACTAAAAGTAAGTTTGAAATCCTTACCAAGTTTTGAGATTCCATCCCCTTTGATTTTGCTACCTGTGTAGAAGAAACTCAGAGCAATAGTCTACAGTTCTTCCTACATCTGACTCCTGAAAGCCATCTCTGGAGGTCTCAGTGGGCAACACTACACTGGACCCTTGTGTCATATTTGACCCGTGCAGTCTGCTCACACTGGTCTTAGAGAAGGAAGCCTGGAGCTACAGTAACATGTAAGCAGTGAAGCCAGAATGCTCATTCGGCTCTGTCCTTAGAGGACACTGCTCTCCACTGGCTTCCTCAGCTTCCATGCTGTAGTGTTTCTAGAGGCTTCCTTTGCAAGAATATTCATTAATATGGTGAAAACTTCCAGAGAAATGATTTTCGTTGATTTTAGAAGTGGTAAGTTGGGGGCTAGAGAGCAAAACCAGGAAGTAAAAGATGTGCCTTGCTCTGGCCTGTTTGCCTTCATGGTTCCCTTCAGTCCTTTAGTGTGTTGTGAGTAGAGGGTCTTTTTCCACATGAGAAGAGTTGAGTCTCATACAAAAGCCATGCCATCATGAGGGCTGGTCACCTGATGTATCTGCTGTTTTCCCATTTCTCTTGGGAATGTTAGGCCATCCTAAGTAATTTTTAGCAATGTAGTTTACCCTTTATATGGCAAGAAGATGCTTTCTACTTGTGCTCAGCTTTTTATGAGTCCCTGTGTTTCTGGACAGGTTGTGTGACTGGGGTTCAGAACAGCCTGGAATGGGGTTGTCCATGCCATTCCTGTTGGTCTTAGACCAAGGTTGGGGCTATAAAGCATCTGAAACCTGTAGACAATAATAGGCCACAACTTGATTGTAGTACACATTCCTTCTGGACTGGGAAACCAATGAAGATCAGCCTTTTTGAAGGCATTTTGGTTGCCTTGCAAAGGTAGCCCCAGACCTCCCTGCTTTTTCTCTGAAGACCAGTTGCCAAGTCAGTGATGGTGGAGTGGAGTGTGTTTTGACATGATCAAGTAGCCGAGCTCTCAGCCATATTTTTTTGTTTGTTTGCTTTTGACCTTTGGGAATCTGATAAAAGCATTAATTTTTTTTTTTTTTTTTTTTTTCTTTTTGAGACAGGGTCTCCCAGTAGCCCCAGCTGTCCTGGAATTCACTATGTAGACCATGCTGACCTAGAACTCACAGAAATCCACCTGCCTCTGCCTCCCAAATGCTGGGACTATAGGTGTGCGCCACCACGCCCAGTGAGCATTACATTTTTTAAAAAAGTATTATTTTTGTGTGTGTGAGTGTATTACCTGCTTGCATGTGAGTGCACCTGTTTTGTGCAGTGCTGTGGAGGTCAGAGAAGGCTTCGGATTCCCCTGGAACTGGAGTCAAGGACGGTTCGTAGCCTCTATGTGGGTTCTGGGAATCAAACCCAGGTCCTCTGCAGGAGCAGTCAGGGCTCTTAACCACTGAGCCATCTCTCCAGCCCCAGCATTACATTTTTAAAAATGTACCTATGCAGATATGCACATGCAGTTATCTGTAGTTCAAGAAGTTGCCTTTCAAGTCCATTGCTAGACATGGGATTAATGAACCATGGTTTGAGACGCCCTAGTGATAAAGCAGTAAATGCATTCTATCTGCTGTTTGCCAGCTCTTTTTTTTTTTTTTTTTTTTTTTTTTTTTTTTTTTTTTTCCTCATAGACTTGGGCCTACATGTATGTGAGTGCACCCATGTCGTGCAATGCCGCAGAGGTCAAAAGAGGGCTTCGGATTCCCCTGGAACTGGAGTTAAGGATGATTCATAGCCGCCATGTGGGTTTTAGGAATCAAACCTGGGTTCTCTGCAAGAGCAGTCAATGCTCTCAACCGCTGAGCCATCTCTCCAGCCCCACTTGGCCAGCGCTTTAAGCTGGCTCTTGGCGTGTACTTGGAGTCAAGGCAGTTTTGAGTGGTGAATCAAGGCCTGGCTTACTTGGAGTCAAGGCAGTTGTGAGTGGTGAATCAAGGCCTGGCTTACTGTGGCTCTCCAGTTTCCTTCCTCCCCAGTGCCTCACTGGTGTACAGGCTACAAAGTGCATGTCTAGGAATGGAAGGTGAAAATACCTTTGCTAAAGGTAAAGGACATGATAAGTGCTAGGAATTGGACCTCAACTGGTTTTACTTCAGCTCTTTTGGCCACAAATTTGCGTTCCACGGCCTCTTCCAGACTTGTCTGGCTGATGAGGACAGCATAATTGCTCACTTCCTTTGTGGTATCTTCACAGTGCCAGTGAATGTCACTAAGTCGGAAACAAGACTCACTGGTGGTAAAAAAAAAAAAAAACAACCCAGGGCTGAAACATCAGTTTGTCTCTCCCCTTTTGTGCAATGCCTTTAGATACAGGTCATGCTGCCACCTTTGAGGGCCAGGGATTTGTTTACTTGTACCCAGAAGTAGAGAAAATAACCTGTGTTGACCACTTTGGCTCCATGGTGCCTCCTAAGTGTTCCATGTGAGAGATAAACACCTTTAATCCTTGACCAAGTCATGTTCATTCCAAGAAGGCTTTGTTCCTACTAGGGCATGTTTCTGGAAACCCTACCTTAGGTTTAATTGGTGCCAGAGTTGTTAGAAACATAAAGACTTGTCCCACAAATACAGAGGTGCTAGTTACTGCCTCATCTCCATACAAGTGTGCTGCTCCTTCCTGGAGGGGTCCGCTTTCCTCCTGGAGGGTCAGCCAGACTTGGGACTTTCAACAGTAGAAAGTTTATGGAAGTGATAGTGTGGTAGCTTCTCCTTTCACCCTTGGAAGTGAGCTGATGTGTTTGTAGACCAGAATCCTAAGCTGAACTGCAGTGTGGAGAGACCACAAACAGGATAGCTGAGGTGCTGTAGCTGGCAGCACCAAAATGTGCATTTGGTGTGGAAGATTTCAGCCCCAGGCTAGCTTCTCATGAGGACTCTACTGAGACCACGTGAAGTTGAAACCCCCAGCTGAGGCCTGCCAACCTAGAGACTCAAGACACTGTTCTAAGTCAAGTTTTGGAATGGCTTAATATACAACAACAGAGAAGTGAGACAAGCAGGCTTCCAGTACTGAAGGGCTGGCCCTGTGCTCTTCATTACTGACTGCCTGTGATGGGGAGGACCAGTACGTTGTGTAATTCCTGTATGAATGGCCATGGCACTGTTCGGTCCGTTTAGGTCATGCAGCATATAAGCTCTCGGATTGTTTTGGAGGTCCCTGGCCTGGCCTTAGCGTTCTTAGCTATCTCAAGTTGAGTAGGAAAGAGAAGGGTGTCCTACTACTGAGACATGGCCCATCACTTCCCTGCTCAAGAATTCACGTGGCTTCACATTGCTCACTGGGTTAAGTCCATGTTTATCCTGGCTTTGAATCTTTCCTTAAGCTGACTCAGCCCACATAGTCTTCTTCATTCCCTTACACAGAGCCTCAGAATGCACTTGGATTAGTTAGCTGTAATATACTTACTGAGAAAGCCTCTATTTACTTGAATATTCCAAAAATGTTTCATTTGAAAAAAAGGCTGGGTGTGGTGGTACACATCTTTAACCCCAGCTCTCAAGAGGCAGAGGCAGGAAGATCTCGGGAGTTTGAAGCCAGTCCGGTTTATGTAACTAATTGCAAAACAGCCAGGAATACATAGTAAGACCCCTTCTCAAAACTCCTCCACCCCATCCCCCCCACCAAAAAAAGAAAGGTCCAGTGGGATAGGAATGTAATGCAGTGGGTGGAGTGCTTGCCTATCATGTATGAGATTACATCCCCTCTGCCACATAAATTGGGTATGATGATACATAATCAGGCCTGGCATGGTGATGCTCGCCTTTAATCCCAGTTCTCTAGAAGCAGAGGCAAGTGGATCTCTGAGATTTAGGCCAGTCTAATCTACATATCAAGTTCTGGACCAGCTGGGGCTACAGGAAAACCCTGTCTCCAAAACAATATATATACATGCATGTGCGCAGGTTATGGAGAACACCGAGTGAAAGCTAAATGCCACTATGCTGCTTCTAGGTGTCTCAGAACACTTAACATTTCCTCAAATGCTATGGAAGGGGCTTCCTAAGGGGCTAGTGGACTGGGGGTGGGGCTCTTGGAAATATTTGTTTCCTGCCCCAATAGGCCCAGCTAAGAAGGAACTCCTTTGATGCCCTCTTACAATTCCACCTGAGACGTCCAAGTATTTGGAATATATGGAGTCAAACCACCTTGGTTCCAACCCTGTCTGCCATGAGGCAAGTGGCTTATTCTCAACTGCAGACTGGGGACAACAGTGGTGGTGGTAAGTTCTCTTACAGAAGGCATGGCAAGTTTGTTCATTCAATGAACAGACAAACAGGACCAGGGACCTGGATAGTTAGTGGTACACAAAGAATATGGAACTATCAAATATCCTAGAGGAGACATGTCAAATTCCTATTTCTAATTGTGATGAGTGCAACATAGGAAAGGGACAGGCATTGTGAAAACTTAGCAGGTGGAAATTAGTCGATTTGGGAAACTAGGAACCAGGGGTTGGGGGTGTGAGTTGAGGGTTACCTACCACATGTCCCACAATGCTCATGTGGAGGTCCCCTTCTGTGGGGGTTCCAGGGATCAAATACAGGTCATCAGACTTAGTGGCAAGTGCTTTCACCTGCTGAGCCATTTTGATGACCCTGCTGGTCTTGGACTCAGCCTTGAGTACCAGGGTTACAGACATAGGAGGTACCATGCACAGCTCTGAGCCCTGTCTTTAAAAGGACCTTTATCCTGAGACTTGAAGGTGTGTTAGCCAGAAAAGAAATAGGGCTGGGGCAGTTTCCAGCTGGGTAAGCTTGTGCAAAGACTGGAAGGTAGTGTGTTTGCTGTGTAGAGATCTCAGCCTGGCAATGCGCTGGAGGGTCAAGGGAGAGCACAAAGCAACAGACCATGCTGAGTTTCAGAACTACAGACTTCACTCAGGGCAGCTGCTATTATTTCAGTTGCTTCTATTGTTTGGCTCCCTGGAGACAGACTCCTTGACAAGGAATGTGAGTCCTTCAAAACATGGTAAGGACCTCCCCAGCACTGTCTTGGAGCTGAAGATGAAGACTGAGAAACCCTGCCTTGTTGAGTGAAGCCAGCTCTTGAGCACCGACATTATCTTACCACTTCCATGAGTGGGAATGGAAGGACGTGTAAAGTGCATGGGGAATGCTGAAGAGGCAGTTGAATGGACAGTTCCTGAAAGAAACCTTTACAGAGACATTGACCGTGCCCTAGAAATCACCCAAATTGAGACAGTGTCGTGCAGAGACCAGGAACTTGAGGGAACGTGGCAGGTTTGAAGGAGAACTAGGGTGCAGGACTGGGCTCCCCTAAAGGCCATCGGGTCTTCCAAGGCAAATTCCAGTATCACACCCACTTGAGCTCCCATCAAGTGCTAGCCCATAGAGAAAACTCACTATGCAGTGAATTATTTTCTAAACCTTCCAAACTTCAAGTATTAGAGTAAAAGTCTTCATCCACCTTGCTGAGCCTTGAGTTAGGTGACTGCAGGGAACCACTCTGGAACCACAGCCTGGATGGATCTGTGGAGTCGACGGCATTTGAGATGCTTGGTGAGTTGGGAGATAAGTGGATGGATGGGAAGTGCATCAATTGGGAAATTCTGCGGTAAGGACAGACTCCAGGAAAGAAGCCCACACTATCCCATTTCACCTCCAGACATGATCACATGTGAGAATGGGGAGTCTTGAGATTGGCTCAGACCTTAGGGTGAACAGAAAGTATTAGGAATACTCCCTATGAGTCTAGTGGAAGCCATCTAGCTGGGTATTGTGGTATAGACTTGTAATCCCATATTCAGGAAGCTAAGGCAGGAGGATTGTAATTTCAGAGCCGGCCTGGGCTCTGCATAGCAAAACTGTCTCAAAAAAGGCAAAATGGAATCAACCTTAGTGGTAGTCTTGACATACTTGGTCACCTCTGCCTCTGCCTCCCAAGTGCTGGGACTACAGGTGTGCACCACTACACCTGGCTTTCAAATAGTTTTTTGTTTTTTTTTTTTCCTCTTTTTGAGACAGGGTCTCCCTGTAGCTCCAGCTGACCTGGAACTCACTATGTAGACCAGGCTGGCCTTGAACTCACAGAGATCTGCCTGCCTCTGCCTCCCGAGTGCTGGGATTAAAGGCGTGCGACACCACTTCTACCTTCCCCTCCTTTTCAAAATAGCCTGCTCCTACCTTCACCCCTGCCATGGAGAGAATCAAATGCCCAGCAAAACGAACCCATTTCCTTTTAGGGATGAGGAACACAGAAGAGAAACTTTTTGTGGCCTAGTGAGTGAATGAACTCATTGCTGTTGAGCCCACCTACAAAATTCCCAACTCCTGGTTCAGCCCTTACCACTGATCTCCGTGTGTGTGTGTGTGTGTGTGTGTGTACGTACTTACGTGCTTGCATGTGTGTACAAGTGCATGTAGAGGCCAAAGGCCAGCCTCAGGTGTCCTCTGGTGCCACCCAACTTGATTTTTTAAAAATATTTTATTATTTTTATTTTATATATATGAATGTATTGCCTGCATGTATGTGAGTGTACCCATGTCGTGCAACACCACGGAGGTCAGAAGAGGGTTTCGGATTCCCCTGGAACTGGAGTTAAGGACGATTCGTGGCCGCCATGTGGGTGCTGGGAATTGAACCTGGGTCCTCTGCAAGAGCAGTCGGTGCTCTTAACTGCTGAGCCATCTCTCCATCACCTTGATTTTTGAGACAGGGTTTCATTGACCTGGAGCATGCCTGTGTCATCCATCCATGTCATGTCATGCCATGTCATGTACGTGTCCCATTGCCCCCCTTCCCTGCACTGGTATTTCACACACATCACTACAGCTTGCTTTTTTGCTTAGGTTCTGGGGATCAAACTCAGATTTTCATGTCTTCACGTTTGCATGGCAAGTGCTTTGCTGACAGGGCTATCTCCCTAGCTCCTTACCAGTCTTATTACCAATGTTTCCCCTGGGATTTTATTCTGGCTAAGGGACTTTTTTTTTTTTTTAAAGACAAGGTCTCCCTATGTAACCTTGACTGACCTGGAACTTGCTAAGTAGACCAGGCTGGTCTCGAACTTACAGAGATCCATTTGCCTCCCAAGTGCTAGAGATTAAAGGCATGTGCCACCATGCCTGACTGGAACCTCTTTTTTTTTAAATTGCACTTATCTATTTTGTGTGTATGCACATAATGTGTGCACATACATGAGCACCCACAGCACATGTGTAGAGGTCAGAGGACAGCTTTGGAGAATTGGTTCTCTCCTTTCACCAGAGATTGGACTCAAGTTGTCAGCTTTAGCCATCTCATTAGCCCAGGAGGGTGATTTCTTTTGGTTGGGACTTCCAAGGAGTCTAAAGGGACTGATCCCAATCCCTCCTACCCTCAAATGGGCACAGCACCTTGCCCACCCAGGATCCTGAGCTCTTTTCCCACCTGAGGATGGACCTAGGCTGAGTAATCTTTGCGATTCTGACATCCCGCCCTCTGCCCTGCATTACTGAGAAAGGTACTTACTACTGGTCACTTGTTTATTGAGCCCTACTGTATGTTGGGCATGGGATACAGAGTGTGAAGCTTTCCCTGTAATGCACTGACACAAGAGCCTGGGTATGAAGGAGGTCTAGGTCACCCTAGCTTGTAAGGCAATAGTAGTGCAATTGTGTAACATTGCTGCCTGAGGCCAAAAGTCCTGGAAGAAATGCACTGAGTTCAGTGGGGGGTCGGGGAGTGTTAGCTCGCAGCTGCTCAGCTGTAACATCCAGGGAAGAGAGGAGCAAGGCATCTTTTGGGAAGCATCCTCTGAGGCTCACTCTGAACCCTGGTCATCCTCTTCTGTGTCTGGGGAGAGTGCTGCATGTGGCTGGTAGGTAGGTGAGTCTGGTCTTCCTCTTGGACCATGGAGGCCTTCCCTGGCCACAGCTTCAGGCCCTGTACTCCAGTGGGGTGTCTCCTGTCTGCAGGTTCCTAGGCAGTGGAAAATGTATTCATCTGCTGCATCCGTTGCCAGCCTTTGGTCATCCTCCCTCCACAGAAAGGGAAATGGTATCCAAAAGCTCCAAAGGCCTTCCTGGAGACATGGAGGTGCCACCAAGCAAGAAACAAGAGACATCTGTCCTGGCTCTGTTACTAGCTCATTGTGTCTTTGGGCAAACTGCTTTCCATTTCTGAGAAATGATCTAAGCAACGTGCCCATGCAAGGTGGACACTCATTTCAATTTGATACTGAATGACTCAGTACCTTGAGAAAATCTCTGCAAAACAGAGGCCATTCCTGTCTTTCCGAAAGTCAGTGTTCTATTAGGGGAGTCAGGAGGGGCCAGAAGTCAGGCACTTGGGAAAAATGTGGAGCTCAGTCTGACCTGCATCTGACCACTGGGGCACCACCAGCTTCTCTTGTGCTGAGTTACCAGCTCTGTGCCCCTTCCTCACTCTGAATTATTTACTTTCATGTCTAGCTTTTAGAGACCACTTGAGGGTGTGGCTCCAGCTGGTGGGGGCTGTGTGTTGGTGGGGGGATGTTGTTAGCGCTCTAAGGGCAACCATTGTTGAAGGCAGAGAGTCTCTTAAGACTAAATGCCTGGGGCTGGAGAGATGGCTCTGTGGTTAAGAGCACTGGTTGCTCTTGCAGAGGATCTGGGTTTGGTTCCCAGCACTCTCAGGGGATCCAACACCTTTTTCTAACCTCTGCAGGTATTGCATGACTCAAGTGCACTTATATACATATTGTCAATACACTCATACACATAAAATAAAAATAAAATATTGGGGTCCATAATTCCAGTTCCAACATGATCTTCTGTCCTCCACAGGCACTACATGACACAGGTGTACTCACACACACACAGGCATAGCAGTCTTACATATAAAATAAAAATAAATAAAATAGCCGGGTGTGGTAGCACATGCCTGTAGTCCCAGCACTTGGGAGGCAGAGGCAGGTGGATCTCTCTGAGTTCAAGGCCAGCCTGGTCTACATAGTTCCAGGACAGTTCGGGCTACAGGGAGACCCTGTCTCAAAAAGACCAAATAAATAAATAAATAAATAAATAAATAAATAAATAAAATAATAAAATATTTTTTAAAAAAGACTAAATACCTGATCCACAACTAGGGGACTGGAGAGATGGCTCAGCGGTTAAGAGCAATGGCTACTCTTTAAAGAGGACATGAGTTTGATTCCCAGCACCCACATAGTGGCTAACAACCATCCTAACTCCAGCACCAGAGGATCCAACACCCTCTTCTGACCTCCACAGGTATTGCACAACATAGTGTGCACTTACAGATATTCAGGCAATATACTCATACACATAAATACTTTTTTAAAAAGGAATCCATAACTAGAACATGACAGACAAGGACAAGAGATTCAGCAAAACTGCATCATGCTCTGTGGTTCCAACAGACCTGGAGGGGATGGGAGTGGGGAAGGTATAACTTCAAGATCATCAGGGCCAGAGAGATGGCTCAGCAGGTAATGACACCTGCCAGGCCTGGTGACCTGCGTTCAATCCCCAGGACTCACATGGTGGAAGGAGAGAACCTCCTTTTATAAGTTGTCCTCTAATCTTCGTATGCACTGCTATGACCCCCTCATGTGCCCACACAGAGACACACACCAATAAAATCTTTTAAAAGGATCATCAGAGGTCCTTCCCTGCACCTGATGGCTTGAGCTTGTTCTATCTGATGGCAGCAGAGCCTCAGCATCTGGCTGCTCTCCCATGGTGATCTTGCCACCCTTTAGATGCTCTCACCTACCTTCTATGGACAGTCCTTTCTTGCCAAGGAGGCTCTGGATCAACTGTCCCAGTTGATACCCTGGTAGGGGAGAGAAGATGAGAAAAGAGGAGCAGTAAAGGAAGGCTGTCTTGGGCCTGGGAGAAGGGCAGATGGAGCAGAGCCTTGCAAATACAGCTATTTTCACTCACTTTAGGAGATGAGACCCTGGTTCATTCATCCATGGATTCCCTTACTGACTCCTATCTGCTCTGTTCTATCTGGTAGTCTTTGATTTTGTTTTTCTGGTTTTTTTTTTTTTGAGATGGTCTCTATAGGTAGTGCTGACTGGCCTGGAACTTGCTATGTAGACCAGGCTGGCCTGGATCTCAGAGATCTGTCTGCCTCTGCCTCTGGAGAGCTGGAATTAAACGTGTGCCCCATCACACCTGGCTTCTGCTAGTCCTTTCACCAGTACTTACCCTATACAGAAACTGGGCTGAGTATTTGGGATACAGAGTGATGGCACTGAGGCCTTCAGGAGGCAGGGGGTTGTCTAGGTTGGGAACACCAGCCATATGCCCCAACAGGACTACAATGTGCCAAGGAGACCATCAGGCTCAGTCCATGGAGACAAGCTGTCTGCTCAGGGCAGCAGTTAAGACATTACAGAGAACTGCTAGGGATGGGGCTGTGAAGTCAGTAAGGGCTCTGAAGAGCATGAAGTAGGCTGGGCCTGATTCCCACAACACTCAGCGATTGTGGGGACAGGCTGGTGTTTTGTGTTTTTTGAGACGTTATTGCTGTATAGCCCAGGCTGGCCTGGAACTTGTGATCTTTCTGCCTCAATCTCCCAAGTGCTAGGATTGCAGGTATGAGGCACCACACCCAATTCTTTTGTCCTTTCCTTTCTGATGAAAGGTTTAAGAACAAAGGCTATGTGGATTTTACTGCAGCTCTCACATCCTCCCTGGGCAGAGGATTGTTCTGAGCTCTCTTATGTTTTTCAGTTGATTTCTTTTCCTAACTCCAGGCTTTAGATTCAGCATAATTTTGCATCTCTAGCAGAAGTAGACTCAGTCCAGTTTCCTCCTATCCATGCAGGCACTCCCTAGGCATACATAGCCCACCCACTAAGGAAATAACCAGAAAACCCATCCTGTGGTCAAGTCACAGCAGCCCCACCCTCTGGTGGTACAGCAGTGCCAGCAAGGCATGCCTGTCTGCCTGAGCGTCACTCCATCTCCCACTGTGGCTAATGGTTGGGACAGGGTGCCCCTCCCCAGAGAGCATGCAGGAGACCTGGGCAGCACTCACCAGTTCTTGGTCTTGGCTGGACTGGATGTATTCCTGAGGTGGGGTTCGGGGGAGAAAAAGGAGGAATGAAGAAGACTGTACTGCTTCTCTGGGGGCTTGGTGAGAGCTCTAGCCACTCCATTGTCCTTGTGTGACAGCAGGAATATGCCAGTAGGAGGCAGTGGGGTGCACAGATGCTGACATCACTGGGGCCTGGCACCAGCTGGGAGGCATCCTTGGGAAAAGCCTCAGTTACCAATTGAGTATATGGGGGTATTGCTATGGACATCTGACCATGGGTGAGCATCGGTTGTGCTCAAGAAGAAAATTCTTTTGAGACAGGATTTCATTATGCAGTCCAGGCTAGCCTGGAACTTGTGATCCTTCTGAGTGCTAGGATCACTGGTATGCCCAGCCTGCTTCACCTTTTTTTTTCCCTGGTGCTGGGGATTGAACCTAAAGCTTTATGAATCTTTTACCATTAAGCTACATGCCCAGCTCAGCGCTTCAGTTTTTTAAAATATCCAGTAGTTATGTATGGTCATAATATATTTTTTAAATATTTTATTTATTTTTATTTTATATGTATGAGTGTATTGCCTGCATCTCTGTGAGTGCACCTGTGTTGTGCAATGCCACAGAGATCAGAAGAGAGCTTTTGATTCCCCTGGAAATGAATTTAAGGATGGTTCGTAGCTGCCATGTGGGTGCTGGGAATTGAACCCAGGTCCTCTGCAAGAGCAGTCATTGCTCTTAACTGCTGAGCCATCTCTCCTGCCCCGGTCATAATATTTTTAAATTGTGTGTGTGTGTGTGTGTGTGTGTGTGTGTGTGTGTGTATTTACACACGGCTCGTGCATGGAAGCCAGAGATCAACATCATTGTGTTCCTTAGTTGCTCCCACTTTTTTTTTTTTTTTTTTTTGAGTCAGGGTCTCTCACTGAACCTGGAGCTCAGCAGTTGGCTTGACTGAATAGTCAGCAAGCCCCAGTGATCCTCCCGTCTCCACCTCCCCAGTGCTGAGATTATACATGTGTTGCCCAACTTTTTTTTTTTTTTTTTTTTTTTTTTTTTTAAGAATCTCCCTATAACCTCAGAGCTAGACTGACTCACTATGTAGACCAGGCTGGCTTCGAACTCACAGAGATCCACCTGCCCTCTGCCTCCCAAGTTCTGGGACTACAGGTGTGCACCACCACACCCGGCGTGTTGCCCAACTTTTTATGTGGGGGCTGGGTATGTTTGTGTGGCAAGCACTATACTAACTGAACCATCTTCCCAGCCTCTTTTTTTTTTTTTTTTTTTGAGTCAGGGTCTCATATAGCTCAGGCGACCCTCAAACTTACCATGTAGTAGAGGATGACCTTAAATTTCTAATCCTCCTGCCTCCACCTCTGAAGTGCTGGGATTACAGTCATGTGCCACCATGTCCTGTTTATGTTCCTAATATATTTTGACCTTTCCCCCCCTGGTGGTCTTTATGTTTTGCAAATTCTTGCTGTTAGAAACAACTTGGCAATGGCCCCTGCAGCACAGACATCTCAGGGCTCATGTGGCATTTTTACATGAGATTGGCAATGGCCCCTGCAGCACAAACATCTCAGGGCTCATGTGGCATTTTTACATGAGATTCCCTGATGTGAAACTGTTGGTCAACAGGCTTCCAACTTTGATGGAAATGGACAACATGCTCCAAATGGACAATGAATAAAAGGCCAACACTGAGCGAGTAAGCCATGAGAAACAAAGTTCTAGCCAGTCTGATTTCTCTCCATCCTTGTTTTGAGCATGGGCAGGTATACAGTAATTGTGCTTGAACTGCACAGAACTGGCTGGAAAGCTTGCCTTGCTCACATCTAGATACTGCTGTATAGCTTTACAACAGTCACCTAGGTATGGAACCAGGGTGGAAAGTATTGGCCCCTTCCTTAGGTACCCCCATCCCTCACAAGCTGGACAGCCCTTGTATACCTGTTGTCATTCACACTCCCCAAAGATTGATAGGGACAGTTTACCTCACCATCCCATGGGCAATACCTACTGGACTCTAGTAACTGGCCACAGCTCTGGGATTTAACTCAGGGCCCCTGCTAGGTGTTGCAGAGCCCCCTTAGAACCATGTCAGCTGCCTTTGTCACTCACCCTCCACCCGCTTCCCCATCAGCCCAAAGAACTGGCGTGTCTTGCTTCTTTTCCTCTCTTGAAGTCGGAGCTCAATGCTGGCCATAGGGATTCCCTGTAGAAGCAGGCAGAGTGTTAAAATGCGGAGTTGACAAGGGGACCTGGCCAGCCATAACCACCCCAACAGCTGGCACCAGCTCTTTTGCATATTTGATCCCAAACAGCACATTGTATTAAAGACGACATTTCACCTACTGTGTTCCTGGCACTCTCTCGAGCACTTTAATTTAGTCACTAGTTCTCACTCAAACCCCATGAAAAAAAGTACCCAATACTACTACTGTCATCATTTTACAGACGAAAACACACAGGTACACAGAGATGAAATAGTATTTTCAAGGTCACACAGCTAAGAACTTGAACTGAGACCATCTGGGTCAAAAGACAAGTTCTCAAACACGCCAGTCATAATTTCAAGATTAGTATTCACAACTACCACCAGACTATGGAGCTGGGCATGGTGGCATATGCTGGATTGTGAATTTAAGGTCAGCCTGAGCCATGTAGCCAAAACAAAACAAACATACACACAGAAGGTAGAAGCAGGAGGATTGCCACAAGTTGGAGGTCAGACTAGTCTACATACCAAGTTCTAGGCTAGCCAAAGCTACATAGTAAGATTGTTTCAAAAACAGAGACTGGGAGCCTCTGTCCATTTTACGTATGTGGAAAGTGAAGTAAAAAGTGATTTTGTTCAAGGTAACAGGAGGAACTGAACCAGGATTCAAACATCTGTTCTTTTCCATCTTGAAATGTTGCCAACACAGATCAGGAGCAGGCTGCCACAAAATGAAGAGGGCAGCCAGGCTGGGGGCTGCTTCCTCACCCAACCCCCACTCCAACTTTGTTCCTCTTTCTGCCCTGGGGGCGCTTCTCCCATTGTCCCAGATTTACCCTGTCCAGAGTTGGGTCTCCCAAAAGTAGTTCCATATGGGGTCTGGGTGGAGCTGTTACTCTGTTAATCCTTCAGCCTAGCCCCATTGGCAAACATCCTTCCCCAAGGGCTATAGATTTCTCTTTCACTCCCTTGGTGACCTTGGCCAAAACCTTCTTCCTCCCTGACCTTGAGTCCATGAAGGAACACCCTTTTCTCTGACAGTCTCAGAATGGGCATAAGGTAGGGACCATGTTTTCCAGCAAGCCTGAAGATAGACCATAGCCTTGAGTGAGACAATCTGCCAGTCCACAGGCAGGGGACTGGGGGCAGATCAGGGGTTCTTTCCTTAGGGCCAGTGAAGGAGTTTGAGGGACCCCAGGGATCCAGCCGAGGGCCATGGAGACCCATGTGCCATTCAGGGCTTGTCTTGTCTTGCTTTTGTGATGTGTGTGTGTGTGTGTGTGTGTGTGTGTGGGTGGGTGTATGTGTGTGTGTGTGTGTGTGTGTGTGTGTGTGTGTGTATTGTTTTCTAAGCTTTGGCCTAATTCAGTTTCTCAATCTGTCTCCTCCCTGGGATGTCAGTGGCCGGGGCAGCTGTCTCCAGCTGAAGTCACCCAGCCTGGCCAGAAACCAGAGAAAAGTCCCTTTGGAGATTTAGACCTATTTCTGAAAAGCTCATGAAAACCACTTTGCCTTGGTTTAAAAAAAAAAAAAATCTTCAAGTGCAAGCTGGAGAGAACACTTTTTATGAATTAAATAGAGCAGACCCTTCTGCCCATTGGGTATCTGCTAGGGTAAGGAGATGCATTAGGAGGACCATTCTGGTTTACCCAGTGAAGGGAGACCTCCATTAGCCCCAAACCATAAAGCAATTTTTATTTTGCAAACAAGTCCATCCAGGACTCCCATAAAGTTATAAAGTTCTGCAAACAAGACCTTCTGAGACCCTTATTGGGGAAAGAATACAAACCCTAAATCTTCTCCCACAAGCCCTCCTAAGACCTGTGGGGTGGGGGGAATGAAAACCCCTAGATGGTTTTTTTTTTTTTTTGGTCTTTTTTAAGACAGGGTCTCCCTGAAGCTCCAGCTGGCCTCGAACTATGTAGACCAGGCAGGCCTTGAACTCATAGAGATCTGCCAGCCTCTGTCTCCCAAGTGCTGGGACTACAGGCATGCACCACCATGCCAGGCGTTAAAAAAAAAAAAAAAAACCTAGATCTTTTATCCAACCCCCATGACACAAAAGTACTTCAGCGCCCCTGCTGTTTGTATGAGGTTGGTTGCTTTGCATTTCCACCTGCAACTCTTTCAAATTCTAATTCTAAGATTTACTTAGAGAGAGCTCTGATCTAGGAGCGAGCACTCTGCTTAAACCGCCTAATTCCTAATGCCCAGGATGACTGCAGTTGGGGTACCCTGGATACTGGGAATGATCAGGTCATCCTATTTGTAGTGATGTTTAGCAACCCACAGAGTCTGTAAGTTCTGGTCTCTAGCCCAGCTTCCCCTTCCCTATCACAAGCCTTGTGTCTTGGGAGGCAGGGGGTGCTGAAGGAGAGTGGAAGAAGACAGGATTCACTGCTGTAGGATGAGCTGATAGCAGGTGGAAAGCCAGGGTTGGCAGAGCCATGTGACATTTCTGACACTTCCATGTGGCCATGTCCAGCACTCTGTCAGGGCTTTGTATATACCACACGTCTAGCACTGACTCTGAAAAATTGTCAAAGCTTCAGAAAGAGCTTAAGAGGGTCATCTTCCCACTCCTGCCGTCTTACAGATGCAAAAATTGAGGTTGAGAGCAGCAGGAGTCAGTGGAGAAGCTGAGACTTGAACCTGTGTCTCCCAGGCATGCCCACACTTCCACAGTCAAAGTAGAAAGAACCCTCCCTGCCCCAACAGGGCTGTCTGTGAATGGTTCTTCCTGAGGTCCCATTTTTTTTTTTTGTGGGCTTTTCCCTCTAGGCTACCCTTGAATTCTATGTAGCCAAAAATGGCCCTGAATTTCTGATTTTCTTGCCTCCACCTCCTGAGTGTTGGGATTACAGGCATGCACCACTATGCCCAGTTTTATGTGGTACTGAGGACTAAACCCAGGGCTGCATGCATGCTAGGCTAACAGTCTACCAACTAAGTCATATCCCTAGCTTCCCAATTCTAAGGCTTCTAGGAACCTCACATGGCCCAGTAACATACACCAAGGCCAGCTGAGTGTTTTCTTCTTTCATTCTTGGCCTGACGGGAGATAGGCTCAATTTGCCCACTTGTCCAAGCCTCCCTGAATGCCAGCCATTAATTTACCTGTGGTTTCCTGGTCAGGTGTTGGGAGCTCCAAGGTCAGGGTCTTTGCTGAGGTCAGAGGAATTGGATCTCAGGATAGGGTTGGGGGGTAGCTTTGATGACAGGGCTCTAACTTTTAGATTTCTCCCTAGTGGGGAGTTTTGTAGAAGCTACAACAATCAAACCAGTGCTTTTCAGGAAACAAAAATATTTCTACATGTGAGACAAAATAGTGATCCTGCTCCAGGTTGATCCCCTAAAAAGAAATTCTGGAAAATCTCCGATGCATGGATATACAAAACTCAGCTAAAATGTATAGCTGTGCTTTCGAAGCAGTGCACCTTGCACAAGCTACTTGACCTCTCTGTACCTCAGTTTCCTTGTCTGTGAAATGGGGATAGCAGTGGTACTTTTCCTATGAGGTTGAAAAGAGTTGTTTTTAAGTAGTCAGGACTGTACCAGTAACACAGTAGGTGTTAAATAAGTGGGGTTTTTTTTTGTTTTGTTTTGTTTTTTTGTCTTTTTGAGACAGAATGTCCCTGTAGCCCCAGCTGTCCTGGAACTCACTATGGAGACCAGGCTGGCTTTGAACTCATACAGATCTGCCTACCTCTGCCTCCCGAGTGCTGGGATTAAAGGCATGTGCCACCATGCCTGGCTGTTTTTATACACATACATACATACACACAACACACGTTTTTGTACTCACATGTACACCCATGTGTGCCTTTGGTGGTCAGATCAGAAGGCCTTGACCCTCCCCACAGAGGACAGTCAACCAGCCTACCTTGCAGGGTGCAGTATATAGCCTGCCATCCTGGCAGCCCCAGGAAGGATCTCCCTCCCCTCCACCATGGGTCATCCTCTCCTAAAGGTACCTCCAGGTTCACAGTCACCCAGGGTTCTGCTTCTGTGCTGAGTGCCAGTTCCTCTCCACTGTCCCCTACCGCAGTGCACACCGAGAATCCCAGCAGAAGCAGCAGGGTGAGGTGGGACAGCATGGTGAAAAGGGCACTGCTCTGTCCAGGGAACCCAGGGAGCCCCTCTCAGCCTGCTCCAGCAGGCTTAGGTCCTCACTGGGTCAGTTAGGTCCCAGCTGGGCTGTTCCAGTGAGGTTGAGAAGCTCTTGTGTTCTGGCTTTCTAGCTCCTCTGCTTCCTTCCTGTGACTTATCCCACCTCTGAGCAGCTGCATGTGACAGCCCTCCCTCTCTGGCTCGTCAGTCCAATGACATCAGGAGCCCAGACCTCCCCACAGCCACCCCTCAACATTTGATCTTAGGGCTTAACACTGATGCAATACCCATCTCACTTTTGGCTGAGTTCCCTCCTGTAACAGGTATACAATGGTACAGTGTGTGGGGCCTGGAGATTCCGGCTCTCCAGGGGCAACCCCTAGAGGACCATCTCTCCTGTTGGAAATGGGGAGGAGGCTGGATGGCTCTTCTCTTTCTGTGCTCTCCCCAGAGTTTGGTCAGCATTTCATCAGATTGTCTACTCAGGTTCTGAGTCCCTCTTCCTCTACACTGTCCTCATCAGTGGTCCCTGTGTGTCTCCCACTGCTTGCCTTAGGAAAGGTGCCAGTGCTCAAAGAAATGAGGCTTCTTGCAAGTGGGAACTGAGATTTACTAGAAAAAAGGCTTTGGATCCCAAGTGTCAGTCATTGACCCTCAGTGATCTTTCTACTGTTGCCGAAACGATCTTCAAACCCTGAACTTCCCATGTCTTGCTTACAACCTTCCAATGCCTCCCCATTGCCCTTCCATAAACTTTAGGCTCCCAAGCATGGCATTCTTGCCCGGTCCCTGTCTATTCAGGTCCTCCCTTTGGCCACCCATCATCCATCAGTCTGCCATCTGGCAGTCTAGAACAAGGGGCCTATTGTCAGAGACCTGAGTTCTACTTGTAGCGCATCATTGCTGAATAGCTGTGTGACCTCTGGCCATTATCTAACACCTCTTATCCTTAAGACCCTCCTGGGTAACACAGAGCCAATAATGGCACTCTGCAAAGGCTGAGAAATGAGATAATGCATGTGGAGCACTCAGCACAGTGTGGCATGGTAAATATTTAATGTCCGTTAACTATTATTATTGTTACTATTATTGGCACTTTTCAGGAAGATGAAGGTGACACTGTGCCTGTCTAGAGTATCACCCAGTCCAGGAGGAGACCTCTGGAGGGCAGATAAGCTAAATTTTATTTGTCATGGGCCAACACAGCGGGTGACCAGGTGAGCAAGGCCAGGGTGTGTCTTTCCCAGGTCCCCTCTCATGCTCTGCCCTCATACACTCGACAACCTGCTCTCAGGATAAGAGCAGGCCATGACTTCCTGCCTTCATGGTTTTAGTTGCCTCTGCCTGGCTCTCCTTTTCCCTCTGAAAAACTCTCATTCGTCTTTAAGCCTTGGTCCTACTTAATGTTCACTCCTTCCTAGAATTTCCCTGTCTCTATTGTCTCCAGCAAGAATCAGTTGGGATCTTTCCTGTTATCTTCCACTTATATTCCTGCGGCTCTCCATGAGCTTGCTAGGAGAGGCTATGTAGGTTGTATACTGTGCACAGTAAAGGGGGAACCCAGCCCTTGCTAGGATCATGTAGCTATAAGCTTTGTGCAAGTTTGCACAGCTGATAGAAGGTACTTGGCTCCAGTTCTAAATGGGCCAGCTGAGCTCAGGGTCACTCTGCTGGGCAGTTGAGTAGTGGCAGGGCTGTGCTGTGAGCCCCTCCTCATGGGGGCTGTGAGAGGTGAATGCTTAGCATGCACACAGTAGGTTTGTAGTAAACGTGCTCACTCTGAGTCTGGGCTTGCCAAAAAAGGGATAATAAAAGCAAAGGGTAGCGTTTGGAGGTACACCCCCACACCAAAAATTCCTGGTGGGTTGCACTGGGAATTGCTTCAGAATGCCAGACCACGCTAAAATGCAGATTCCCTGGCTTGGCCTATTTCCTTGTTCGTCTTAGCACTGCAGGGGGGAAGCAGTCACCTGGTTTCAACTTCATGGTCAGGAAGACAGTCAATGCCTCCATCTTCCGGTTTGGGCTTTCTGCAGTGTGTCATTCTTTTAGGGAACACTTGGACCTTTTTTGCCCCTTTCATTTCACAGTTGTGGAAACAAGAGGCAGATCAGGCTTGTTCTAGGTATTGCCAAGTATCAGGGGCAGATTAACTTCTAGGACTCCAGCTCCACTGGGGCCTCCCAGGCTGGCCTGGTGGCAGTCACAGCACTGACCCCTGAGTGCTGGAGGTGGCCTTCCCTCTGCAAGCGCAAATGACATGATTTGATTTTAGCCCTTAAAGAGTTTCTGAGCCTCAGTTTCAACATCTGCAAACTGAAGCTGTCCCTCCTAGGGCAGGACATGGGTTGCCCGCAAAGTGGTCGCAGTGCCTGGCACAGCGCGAAGCCTGGGCCTGGGCGATGGTCTGCTAGCGGGAGCTCTCCATCTCTTTGGGGAAGGAACCACCTCGCGTGGAGCAGGATGTGGTGGGCGGGCGTGCTGCAGGGCTCAGGCGGGGGGCTTCGGGCAGAGGAGAGGGCGGCGGGAAGAAGGGCGAGAAAACCCCAAAGTCCGGAAGGCAGGGAAGGAGGCAGGGCACCGGCTGGAAACCGCGACTATTTGCAGCGTTGCCCTCGGGTTGTGGTCAGCTGGGGCTGGCAGGCCTAGCGGCCAGTCCACCACCCCACCCGGGTGCCCTTGGCCACCCGGGCAGGGCCCTGGCCAGCGCACCCGCTTCGCTCCATCCTGCCCGGGCGGCGGCTGGGCTGGGACGTCGAAGCTAGAGGGAGGACTGGGCCACCGGAAGAGTGCCCCGCTCAGGACCGCGGGTTGGGGCCGGGCGGTCAGGACCTGGGAAACCCCGAGGTGGGCGGGCGGGACCTGGATATATTCTAGTTTGATTGGGGCCCCCAGGTGGGCGGTGCCCGGGCAAGTTCAGGTTCGACCCCTGGGTGGGCTGGGCCGGGAAAGGTTTGGTTTGGTTAGGACCTGGGGTGGGCGGGACCCGGATAAATTCAAATTCTAGTAATACCCCAGGGTGGTCGGGCCCGGGCTGGTTCAAATTCGACCCCCGGGTGGGCGGGGCCCGGGCAGGTTCACGTTCCAGTAGGACCCCGGGGTGGACGGTGCCCGGGCAGGTTCGGGCTCGACCTCCGGGGTGAGCGGGGCCGGGACAGGTTCAGGTTTCAGAAGAACCCCGGGGTGGGCGGGGCCCGAGAAGGTTCAGTTTCGAGCCCCGGGGTGGGCGGGACCCGGGCCAGTTCACGTTCCAATAGGACCCCGGGGTGGGCGGGGCCGGGGCAGGTTCGGGTTTGACCCCCGGGATGGGCGGGGTCGGGGTAGGTTCAGGTTCCAGTAGGACCCCGGGGTGGGCACCCAGAGTCCCGGCACGCCTCGGCGGGCAGCGCCCTCCACTGCCCGAGGCGGGCAGGTTCGGCTTCCGAGCGACCCCGAGTGGGCGGGCGGGGCCGGGGCGGCAGTCTGGCCGCGGGGCGGGTCGCGGCCGCGGTGAGGCTCGCTGGGCGCCGGGTGGGCGCGAAGGATTGCTAAAGACTGCGGTTTGGCTAGAGTTACCTAGCCTGAAGAAAAGGGCGCGGGAGGGAGGGATGAAAAAACAGCGGAGAAAGGCGGTCTGGATCTCGAGGGCGGGTAGCGGGCAGGAAGCCGACGCTTCCGAGTGCCCACTCGGCCTCCGGCCGTGGACCCATTGCACAGGCAGGCTCTTGGAAGCAGAGCGCAGTGGGTGGCAGAGTCGGGATTCGAACTCGGATCTGCCCGCGGCTCTCGTACTCGTTCACTTGACCTAGGAACCCAAACTGACAGTGGCGGGGCTGACAGGGACATGGGTGAGGGGTCTCGGCTGCCGGGTGAGGACTTGCGGGGGAGGCCAGCGGAAGATCTAAATATTTTTCACCGTATGATGCCAGCGAGTCCAGCTTCCGTTTTTCCCACGCCCTTCTAGCGCCCTCATGTGGAAGCTTCGACAGCCTTGTTCCTGCTCATTGACTGCAATCCTGGTGGGGTGCAGGCAGACCAGGATCTTGCTGGGCTCTGATGGTCTGTCCTGGGCTCTGATGGCTTGCCCTTTGCATAGAGGGACAGGTAGTAAAGGAGTGACCAGGCTGCCAGAGGCTGGTGCTGGGTTTCTTCTATTGGCCAGGAAGGGAGGTGGTTGAGGCACCCTGGAGCCCAGGCCTAAGGTAACAGTCTTCACCCTGTGTTTAGGCCCCTCAGTTGCCATAAAATGGAATTTCCCCCTCCCCATGTTATCTTACAGCTCTCCTTCATTGATCATAAATTTTCTGAACACCTACGAAACAAGAGTGCCAGAGCCAAGATGAGATGGCTTGTCCACACTCACCTTACACAATAGAGGGGCATCAGGAAGCGCCTGGTGCCCATCCACAGTGGGGGTACACTGGGACTTAAGCAGGACACTCAGTCTCTGTCCCAGCAGGGAGATGAAGCAAGCTGATCCCTGCCTGCTGTGCCCTGAGTTAGGTGGGCAGATATTTGCCCTCACTTGGTGGCAGATGACTTGGCCCAAATCTCCTTTGCTCTTGCTGTCCATAGCCCTGCTACACTGCCAGCTTTCATCCCACTTCCCTTTATCTCTGGAAGGGTCTAGAAGGGCCTAAAGATATCATCCAATCTCAGGTTTTTATTGCTTAGCAGATCAGAGTTTTGAGAATGATTGTGTTCCCATCACCTCTATTACCAGCCAGTCCCCACCATCAAAAGCACACCCTGGCCCAGGGGTGCAGAACCCTTGGGGCTTCTCCTGGCTCTTTTCTTTTTCACTTACTTCTTTCCTCTGCAGGGCCTCACCTACACACATCTCTACAGTCAGGCCCATCAGGAGGGACAAACACCAGCAGGGGTATAAGCCAAAGGAAGCAGAATGCTAAGGGTACTTTGGATTCTAACTCTGGCCCTATCACTTAACCTTCATGACTTTAGACAAGTTACTTATCTGAGCTTCCCTTACTGTAACCATAAAATGGGGATAAGCCAGGCTTGGTGGTACAAACCAGTAATCTCCACCGTCAGGAGACTGCGGGGCGGGGGGGCGGTGAGTCCAACCAGAATTACAGAGACCCTGTATCAAACCAAACAGAACAAAACAAAAAAAGATG